CACTGGCTATCCTTTATTGCTTGTTAACTTATCAGTTTCTCTAGACAAACCCTATTTGTCTCCAAGGGGCAGCATCTCCCCTTCTCAGCAATGAGAGGGCATGCGGCATCTTTGTTTATTCAGTGCTTCTCCTCCAAGGAGCACCTTCCTGATTTATAGCATCACAGGGAGGACAAGAAAAAAGTGAGAATAGCAGCTCACTGGTGTCATTTGATGTGTAAATAAGTGGTGAAAATGTTAACAAATGTTGCATTGTTAATATTACCCCTTAAAGTAACAGCCTTGTAAGAAATGTTTAGTGAGCACAATTAGGACTAATTTGACCCACCAAGATTGTTGAGTATTCAGAAGGCCTGGGAGTCTGGAAGGAAACAAAATACTGAACAGGACCATTAAGGCAAATGCCATCTTCAGCTATCTATTTAACTTGATGATAGTTTGTACTAATAAGGTGTGAAAATTGTATATATAGGGTATGTTGCAATTCATCTTTTCCTTGCTATTTGCAAAAGGGCTAGAGATTTCACTGTCTCTCTTAAAAAGTAGACACCTGGTATGACCAAATTCTGGATTAAACACACACACACACACACACACACACACACACACACACACCAACTCCTAATAGTTAGAAGAGAGCGTGAAATCAAAGAGGTTACTGCTCTGGGAATGGGAAGAAACGTACCTATATAAAACACTTCTTTCCACATGAATTCATCCCTTTGTGGCATGATATTTCTGTAGAAGTGTATACATGTGATTGCAGAGCTCAGCAGACATAACCCAGTTCTTTCCACCATAACTCCATGCATCCCCTGGGCTCCAGGGAGGAGCTGATCCCAGTAGGAAATGCAGGTAGGAGTTAGCTTATGCAGGGCTCACTGTGAGAGACAGGTAACCTTCAATGCTTTATTCATCAGGTCCCCAGCATCTACCAAAGAATACAATTCCTTAACCTGCTCCTCAAGGATTGCCATGACCACACACTTCATGTTTGTATGGATATTCTGCAAAGACTTTGCTTACAAAACTTTGTCTTGTTGAGACTGGTTTGGCTCAGTGGAGAGAGCGTCAGCCTGCGGACTGAAAGGTTCCAGGTTTGATTTCGGTCAAGGGCATGTACCTTGGTTGCGGGCACATCCCCAGAGGCAGCTGACCGATGTTTCTCTCTCATCGATGTTTCTAACTCTCTATCTCTCTCTCTTCCTCTCTGTAAAAAATCAATAAGTTATATTTTAAAAAATTTGTCTTTCTCTGATCATGCTGAGAAAACTTTGAACTGAATATGTCTGAACTATTGAATGAACAAACTAGAATTATGTTTGGTTTCCAAATTCTGTAAAATTTGGAATGATCTCTGCCCCAGGAGCCACATAGTTTAACAGGGAGACAAACCAAGGGGCTGAGGAAGACTCCAGAAGGTTTGGTGCAGGAGCCCAAGTGCTCAAATGCAAGGCCCTGGAACCCATGTAAACTGTCCAGGTGCCCGTGGGTTTTGCCACCTTGTCTATAGCAGTGGGCATAGGTTCAGTGGCCAGGCTCTGAAATCTGTGAACCTTCTCTGTATCTCACATGTCACTCACTGGCTGCTTTTACTACTACTACTATTACTACTACTATTATTATTTAAAGTATTACTCACTGGCTGCTTTTGACCTTTGAGGTGATGGGAGTATCAAATAACTAAAATAAAGAAGACATGAGGACAGAATAACTAGTCAAAATCAAAGTGTATGAGCTAAAAGGAATGTTTTCTGGTTGCCACAAGTTAAATTTTTTCTTATAAATATATTGGCATAAAGAATAATTCCTGGGTACATTCCATTTGTCCTCTGTTTCCTCCCTTGTATGGTTATATTATTATTGATGTCATTAAAAGTGCATTCATCAGGCCCAGCTGTCAGAGAGTTGCACTTATTTGGTGCCCACAGGCAGTTTTGAGGTAAATCTCTTGCTTTAGGGCATTAGCTGATCAATACCGACATCTATAGTGAGGGATTGTTTTCCCACCTCCTTCTGCATGAAATCACTCTGGAAGGAGTGCGGAGTCCAAGAAGAAGGTGCCCCTACAGACCCTTCCTTCTGCATCCACTGCCTTTTCAAGAGAGGCAGCCTCCTAGGTCCAAGGAAAGGCCTTGGAAGAAACATGGCAGCTTCTGATCACCTCAGCAGTGCTGTTTTTTTCCAGCTTATTCACTCTTCCTTTCTGGTTTTCAGCCTGATGGTCTCAAGTCTTATTTTATCTTTGAAGTTTATGGGACCAACATTCCTTCACTTTAAGACCAAAACCTCCCTGTTATTGCCTTTATTTATTTACTAGAGGCCTGGTGCACAAAATGTGTGCAGGGGGTAGGAGGGGAGATCCCCTCAGCCTGGCCTGCACCCTTTCCAATCTGGGGATATCCGACTGCCAGTTTAGGCTCAATCCTGCTAAACTGGCAGTTGGACATCATGATATAGGGCACATGGGAGGAAATTATGTTAAGCTTTGATTGTTGAAATACCTTTATTCTATCTACCAACTAAATTACTGGTAATGGTTTGATCAAGATTTCTCCTTAGAATTTTGAAGGCATTTTTTTTCTTTTCTTTTACTATTTCATGCTACTGATGAGAAGTCTTATTCTTAATTCTTTGTATGTAACTTGTATTTTTCTCTCTGGAAGCTCTTATGATCCTCTCTTTGTTCTCAGGCCTCTGGGATTTCACCATCATGTGACTTGGGAGTCTCCTAGCAGTGACTGAGGCACAGGCTCCAGAGTCTCATTCTTGAGGTTCAAATCCAGTGCCACAACTCACTAGCTTTCTGACCTCTGTGTCTCAGTTTCCTCATCTTGAAATTGAGATGATAATAATACCTATCTCATAGGATTGTCATAATAATTAAATATCTGCAAAAAGCTAAAACCAGTGTTATTTAAGCATTATATTTTATTAATATTCAAATATGAAAAAATGATCTTTTTGAGTTCTGCGAATTTTCTTGACCCTGTGTCTTGAGTATGAATGTTGGTCTTGAGAGGGGGAATGGTTGTACAGGGAAAGATGTGGCTGAGCCTCTGATGTGAGATGAATTTCAACAGGATGAGGCTGATAAAAAAATAGGTAACTGTTATTGCTGGTAAGACACCCCTGGACTATGGCTTCTCAGCTCATGATTGGAAGAATAACTGGAAAGGAAAGTCAATCTTTGAAGAATTATGGTCACTCCAATTTAGAATTCAGATATGCTCCCTGGAAAGGTATTTTTGTTTTTCAGTTTAAAAGGAAATATCATGACATAGATTCAGAATGACAGAAAAATGGGAGGATGCTTTGGAGATTCTCAGTATCTTTATGAATAAGAAATATCTGGTGATGATGCTTTTATTGTCAGTCTTCATTAATGGCTAAGATGGACCAACACACAGGCAATTCCTAATTTCTATATAAAGTGTTCACAGACTTATACTCAAAATGCCCTGTTGATAACAGGAATGGCAATTCAGGGTAATTCAAGAGCCCAGTTAATGAGAGAAAGCTCTACATTAAATAATAATTCCAAATAATACATTTAGAATAAAAATTTTTGAAACCATCATTTTGTAGCACTCTTGTGCAATAATTGATTTGAAGACCATTAAGAGATGCTAAAACTAGTTGAAAGGAAGGGGGAAAGGAGTATTCACATAGTGCCCAAGTATTGTACATAGAATACTTACTGTTTGCAAAGAGGCTTCCATTACAATGGACAGATATGCTTTCAACAGATGATCCCACTATTCAAACACTACGTCACTAATAGTGAGATAAGCCAGCATGTGTATCCCAATATAATAAACATACTTGCCAAAAGTCTTTATCCTGATTCTAAACAGCTTTTAAGTCTGACTTCCATCTTAGAGAATAGGGGATAGAGCAGTGGTCGACAAACTCATTAGTCAACAGAGCCAAATATTAACAGTACAACGATTGAAATTTCTTTTGAGGGTCAAAAATCGACTTCTGTGCATGGGCCACAAAGTTTCAATCTCACTGTACATGTGCACCCTCACATAGTATTTTGTGGAAGAGTCACACTCAAGGGGCCAAAGAGCTGCATGTGGCTCATGAGCCTCAGTTTGCCGACCACTGGGATAGAGGAACCAGGAACAGGATACCATGAGGAAAACATCAAGCCAATTCAGAATGTGAAACATTCTAAAACTAGCCTTATCTTTTCTAAAAAGGGTCAGGGCAAGGAGACTGGTCTACTTAATGAGATTTAGGAGATATAACCATATGTAACACATGATCCTTGATTGGATTTTGGTTGAAAAAACTATGAAAGATAATTTTTGCAAGAATGGCAAAATTTTAATAAGGAATGAGCATTAGACATATTATGCCATCAATGTTAATTCTGTCAGGTGTCCTAATAGCATTGTAGCTATGTAAGAAAATGTCCTTGTCAGGGGGAGAGGGGACACTGCCAGCAGAAGCATTTAGGGGTGGGATTTCATGATGTAATTTACTTTGAAATAATTTATTTAGATAAATTGATATGAAGCAGGGTATGGCAAAATGTTAACTGTTGTTGAATCAAGAAGGTAGATACATGGATATTCATTGTTTTATTCTACTTTTCTATTTGTTTGAAAAATTTATATTAATAAATGTAGGGAAATGGCCTGCAGATGCAAAATTGTGTAAATTTGGCCTGACAGTGTTTTGGAAGGAGCACGAGTGTGTCAAAGGGCCACGTTTGCATTGGGCATCCTGGAAGGAGCATTTGCTTGCTGCATTCACCAGGGCAATGGAGTGAGATAGTCATTCACTCCAGAATATAGAAGAGTTTTGGAAGAATTAATGTGCTTCCCAGAATGTCCATGTTATTGTCAGGAATAATTTACTCACTGGAGGGATCAGATTGAATAATTCATGTTATGACTGCAATGGAAATGCTCCTTGTTTGGTTGTTAGTGAGATTATCTCCCTCAAAATCAAGTCACTTAAAATTACCTCTTTTACATTTGATTTTATTTTAAAGGATGTATTTTCTTTTCTTCTTTTTAAGCAAACAATATAAAGTAGTTGTCCTATCCATTCAGGCATAGATGTGAGGGGGAGTTAACATGCAGAATCGCTTCCTGCAGTGCAAAATTGTTCTTAAGCTGTACTTGTTGCTTAGGAAGTGAGTTCACAGCCCCAACCAGTTCCTCCGTTTCTGACATGATTTCAGGGAACTGGACTGTGCCATGTTGCGCCGCCTGGAGAAGAGGATTCTGGTTGACCTCCCCAGCCAGGAGGCCAGGAAAGCCATGATCTACCACTGGCTGCCCCCATTGAGCAAGAGCAGAGCGCTGGAGCTGCGCACAGAGCTGGAGTACGGCACTCTGAGCCAGGTAAGCTGCCCTGGAGAGGCATCAGTAGGCCAAGCAGCCATCACGTGACAGTCTTCTCGACAGGGTGTTCTCATGAGCTGCTCGGAGCCTCTTCCTTGAGTCACTTATAAAGGATTCCAGCTCCCCAACAATGCAATGGACCTCTTCTTCATGAAGAATGAGCCCTTCGTCACTCAGAAATATTCAAGCAGGGAGAAGCAATATGATATAGTAAGAATAGCTAGCACAAGGCTTAGGCTAGGAGAACCTGTAGTCAAATCGTTGGTCTGTCAGCTGCTTATTATCTGTGTGAATCACTTATTCTCTGAGCCTCAGCCTTTTCATCTATAAGGTGGCTAACAGATCTGCCACAAAGAATTACTATAATGATTAAATGAGAAGTCTTTTACAAATCCAAAAGCTCTAGATGCATATCTGTTGCCTTCTTTGTCACTGCTATCATTGCCTTCTCTGAGTGGACACTTGAACTTGATGTTCATTGAGGTTTCTCTAAGGCAGCTTAATGGTCTTATTTGCAAGAACAAAAATGTCTACTGAAATTTTATCATCCTTGGATTTGGCACAAGGGCCCCATTAGACTAACATGGGTGGTCTAGTCCTTCACCAGCATCTCACAACATATATTTGGAGGGGAATTAGGAAGTTGTTGCCCAGCTTCTTAGGTTATCCAAACATGTTAGAGGCCTCTCTTTCCCCAAGCATTGTCTATCTGGGGACCTTTGTACAGTGTCCGTGTGGAGCAGATACAGAATCTAAACAGGGGCTCTGATATACTGGGTCCTGACCAGAAGGATGTGATCACCACCAACATTCTGCCTGCTGACCAATGGCTGGTTTGTGGCTCTTTCAGGAGACTGAGGGCTACTCAGGCTCAGACATTAAGCTGGTCTGCAGGGAAGCAGCAATGAGGCCCGTGAGGAAGATCTTCAATGCACTTGAAGATCACCAGTCAGGTAAAGCTGGGATCACAGCAAAGGTGCTCCTGGAGGGAAATCTGTATTTAAAGATCCAACTTTCACCAGCAGGTGGAGCCTTGCGCCTGTTCTTGGGGGTTTTTGACTCTTGCACACATTCTTGGTCTTCTCTCTTTCCTGCTGCACTCAACTCCTTCCTCCTCTGGAGTTCTGTTTTGGTTCCACTTCGCCACAGATGATAAACTCCTTAGGGCTCGGGCTTTTATTTCTCTGGCACACAGTGATGTTGGGCTGGATCCACTGCGGCACTATATAAATATTAAATAAAACTTTGATGATACATTTAAATCACATATTTTTGTCTGGACTTCAGAGGCTGAGTTGTACATTAAAGAATTTTCATTTGAGCCCTCTTTAGTGTTGACTTTTCTGCATTAACCATTAAGAATGTTGCATTATGCATTGTCTTGAAAGAAGGTCTATTAGCATTTCAAGAGCATTGATCACCATAAGGTCGATTGTTATGCTGTTACTGTTGTTTTTATCTAGAGAGCAGCGATTTACCTGGGATCCAGCTGGGCACAGTGACCACTGCTGACTTTTTGGATGTGTTAGCTCACACCAAGCCCTCAGCAAAGAATCTGACTCAGAGATACTCAGCCTGGCAAAGTGAGTTTGAATCTGTTTGAAATCACATTGACTCTGACCTGGCCACAAAGACAACCACAGAGGCCTTCTGGTTTATTAGTGTAAGTGGAAGAACATAATAATTGGAATAAGAAGAGAGAAAAATCATTCTTGAAGACTGAATTAATTTGGACAACTGTATTGCTTTGGAAATGAGATATTTTCATTAATTTTTCATAATTGATGTCAGCAAAATATTCAAGATTTCAATTACAGTCAGATGTGCTATCAGGTCATATAATGGAGACTTTTCTTACAATTAAACTCTGTAAATTTTTGATGAACAATTTGTTGCCATGTTCCTCATTTGTGACTGAGACTTTCATTTTGATGGAAAGAAAAATGTAGTTAGGAAAAGTGTGCTGGAATGCAGGGGGTGGTTCTGAGATTGGAAGCTAAGCTTGATAGACCATCTGACCTGCTGATAGTTCAAGGGTGGATAAAGATGGGAGCAGAAAAGGAAATGTAGATTCTATTTCTTTTTGACAATATTCTTAATTTCATCAGCTCACAGTACTTCTGACCTAAATCAGTTTTATCAGCAGCACACCCCTATCAGAGTAGGCCTCGCTTGGAAATGTCACTCCATCTCTAGATGTGTGGTTTTTGACATTCCTCACAGTAAAGACACCCAATCTTCTTTCACTTCCAGAACCCCACCTTCAGCCCACTGTGCACTGAACACATCTCCACATCCTTCCTCCATTCCTTTTAAGAATCACCAAGTTCATCTTGTAATACTTTCAACCTCATTCAATCACATATTTAATTCTTCTCCTTTCTCCCTTGCAAAGATTGTCTCCAAATAATTATGTGTTTTCAGGTCACACTTTTATTTTGGTGAGTTCTTTTTTAAAAGACGGTTTATATATTAAAATGACTTCCTGCTTTGGATGAAATTAAATGTAACTCTTTCATCCATCTGCCCTGTTCCTACCACACAGTATGTCTTTCCTTATCATCCCAAATGGTCATGTTATGATGTTAGGTTAACTCAATAAACAGTATTCATTGCAGAGCCAACTAGTAAATCAGAATTACAGTTTCTTTTTTGTGACTTTTGTCTTACCTGGAATTAATAACTTAACTGCCCTTTCCCTTCATTTGCTTAGTTTTCTAAATGTCTTTTTGTTTTTTGCAACACATCCTCAGATCAGTCAGTTATCAGTATTATTTTCCAAATGGCCAAATACCAGACAAATTTTCAAGGGGAAGGGAACCAAGGACCCCTGTAGTGTAAGTGGACACGTGCCTAATTCCCATTGTCAGCCCCACATCCTCTCACCCTGGTCCACTACCACACCCACTGTCCCCAAGGCCTCAACTTTCATGGCTTCATTTTTTTCAGAAAATAAACCTCTATTTTCCTGCCTAGGCTGGGGATACTCATTTGACTGTCAGGGTGGACAGGGTCTAGGGCTCCATTTTGTTTACCAGCTTTCAAATAATTCCTTACTCTCAATCCTGCCTCACACTCCACTTTCTCTCTACCTAGTACCACCCAGCCTTGAGTTTTTGAGATAGTTCTTCAGGATAAATTTTGGTTCTTTGTGCTGATTTTAATTATCAACTCTGCATTCACTTACCGTCTTCCAAATTCTTACACCCTCTCATCCATGGTATCTCTTCTACTGTTCTCTTGTAGGATGTCTTCCTGGATTTATACATTCTTTCTTCCTTTCCTCTTTAGTAAGGCTTTGAAAGAGACCACTTAACATATATGATTAATCCACTATGTTTACAGAGTCTATGATTATTTTTTTAAAGTAGATTAAAAGCACATCTGAGTTTATAGGGATACAGGAGGTTGGCCATTTAATTGAAGGAAAAAAATGTAACCTAATCCAACATATGGTGATTTCTTCTAAAGCAGGGGTCACAACTCAAATTCATTTAGGAACCTGGAATGTAATAACACATGAGTAAAGCGAGGGGGGTGTAAAACAAGGAAGAGTTGGGGACTACGGGGAAGTGGAGAGGGCCAAATCTCTCTGAATGGCAATAGTGATTCAGCTCCAACTGAATACAGAAATTCAGACCCAATCTTCCTAGGAAAGCCAGCAACTGAGCTGCACTTAAAATAGCTGACAGATGTTGACCCTACTCATCTAAAATAAAACCCTCATGTTGGAAAAATTGGACAGATACATGCAAAAAAAAAAAAAAAATGAAACTAGACCACCAACTTACACCATATACAAAAATAAACTCAAAATGAATAAAGGACTTAAACATATGATGGGAAACCATAAGACTCAGAAGAATCCATAGGCAGCAAAATATCAGACATGTGTCGTATATCTTTATACTATCTAAGGGGAAAATAAACAAATGGGACTATATCAAAATGAAAAGCTTCTGCACAGCAAAAGAAACCATCAACAAAACAACAAGAAAATCCACTGCAAGGGAGAACGTATTTGCCAATGTTATCTCTGATAAGGGTTTAATCTCTAAAATTTACGGGGAACTCATACAACTTAACAAAAGGAAGATAAACAATCCAATAAAAAAAAAAAAAAAAAAAAAGGGCAACGGACCTAAATAAATACTTTGTGAAAGAGGACATAAGGAAAGCCAACAGACATATGAAAACATGCTCAAAGTCACTAATCATCTGAGAAATGCAAATCAAAATAATGAGGTACCGTCTCATATCTGTTAGAATGATTATCATCAACAAATGACAAGTGCTGGCGAGGATTCGTGCACTGCTGGGGGGAATGCAGACTGGTGCAGCCACTGTGGAAAACAGTCTATAGAGTTTCCTCAAAAAACTAAAAAGGTAACTCCATTTGACCCAGTAATCCCACTTCTAGGAATATATCCCAAAAAAATAGAAACACCAATCAAAAAGAAAATATGCACCCCTGTGTTCACAGCAGCACAATTTACAATAGCTAAGATTTGGAAACAGTTCAAGTGCCCATCAGCAGATGAATAAATTAAAAAACTGGTACATCTACCAATGGAATACTACACTGCTGTAAAAAAGAAGGAACTATTACTATTTGCAACAGCATGGATGGACCTGGAGAGCATTATGCCTAGCAAAATAAGCCAGTTGTAGAAAGATACATGTCACATGATCTCACTTACTTGTGGAACATAATGGACAACATAAACGGATGAATAAAAATAGAGCCAAAGGAAAAAAAAAACATTTTAGAATATAATAGAAGTAATCCTGTTATTTGCAGGTTTTTAAATATTTCCTATAACTTTTGTGATGTTAGTTTTGGTATTATTTAAAATCTTTTTTTCTTGAAATATTAACATTTATTGCATGTAATATTATATTTAAAACTAGAGGCCCGGTGCATAAATTTCGTGCATGAGGGAGGTCCCTTAGCCCAACCTGCACCTTCTCCAATCCAGCCCTCAGAGGATGTCCTACCGCTCCCATGGTTCTCTGTTTTCTGCGCAGGCCTGCCTGCTCGACACTGCAGCTACAGGCAAGCAGGCCCTGGTGTCTGCTCACCGCCAGTAGGACTGAAAGGACTGGGGGACTCCAGTGGCAGGCAGGTGGCACAGCTGCCCTCCCCTCGGGACTGGGAGACTACAGTGGGGCTGAGGGGATTGGGCACCATCATCTTTATGATAGAGTGATTGTCAATTTGCATATTCCCTCTTCATTAGTTTTCTTGAAATATTAATGTTGATTGCATGTAAATGGCTAATTATTTTATATTTACAATCTGGTTATAGATTTATTTTGTATATTGTAAAATAATAACAACATTAATTATAAAATAAAATAACCTCCTCATTCTTACTGGCTTTAGTCATCTTCATCACTTTATCAATATCTCTGTTGTTTGTTTCATCTGCATACCTTACTTAAATGTTAACACCATGGTTGTGATACTTTTTACACTGCTATTGAATGAATGGAACATTTTGCGCTGGCCAAAGCACTTAGTTCACTGCACGTGACAGGACTTATGCAACCCCTTGAACTTGCCGGTGCCCTTTGAACTGTTAGATCTATTTTTATATGCATTGATTTCCCAACTAGAAGGTATGCCTTAACAATATAGTGGGAGCTACATTCTGCTCTCTCTTCCTTAGTGCTTTACACACAGTGGGCATTTAATATTGATCTTCACAGGCACAACAGCTAGTGAAACAAATAAGTGTTGAGATGTTTATGGCCTGAGAGTAAGCACTGAAAAAAAGTAAGGTATTCAAAAAATTTTTTTTAACAGATATATAGTTTAAATTATGATTTTTGGTGCTTAGGTGCCTTGCTCTGGTTGTCTATTATAGGTACCCAAAGACTTCAGTTTCCTATTACAGGAACGATTGATCCAAACCAATTGAACACAACCTGTGTTTTTTACTCTCCTGTCCAACATGCTACTATAATATTTAAATGTGAAATTAAGGGTGAGGAAACTTCTGACATCCACAGTTTACAGGTGTTTGATGGAACTGTTGCATAGGGTGAGCTCCCTTTCCTTTCCTAGGCATTACAATAGGCTCTGACAGAGATAAAATGGTAGTAGAGCTATACAAAACTGGCAGATTCTGGAGGTGTGAGTGAAGATGCATCAAGCAAGTCTCCTCCACTGGCCTAGGGCTTCGTCCTCCTCCACCCCTAGTAAGAACCTGGCTCACAGCAGATACTCAATAACCATCTCCCGAAATTGGGTGTTCTCTAGTACCCTTTCCAGTCCTAAGATGTCACTTAGTCCCTATTCTAGCCCCATGACAGAATTATAGTAAACCTGATGCAAATATTGTCCTGTAGTTGTGGTTTGTATTGCAAGATAGCCCTTCACATGGGAGGGCTGAAAAATCTGCTTCATGAGGCCCATGAGCTGGGAAAATTTATACTAACCTGGATCTAAACCAAGATTTTTATTTATCCTCATGAACTGGTGGACAGGTGGTTAGTGAGCCCTATATAATGTTTGCTAAATCAATAAAGTATCAAACTGAGATGGTAATGGTCCATGGGGTCAAACCAGAATGAAGCAAAGCAGAAAAGCCATTCCTCTTGGGTGGATGATATGCTCAAGTGATCTCACCCATCCTGTCACTCTATTTAATTCCTGGCCATCAGTGATTCCTACTTTTTCGCTTTGGCTCTAACCTGTCTCCAGAGCACTAGATCCATTATTTCCAAGTGTCTAAGGGGGCTTCCCCTATGGCAACAAGACTAAAATGAATCTTATTTGTTCTCCCTCCCCACAGCTATACCTTCTAATGTTGAATTCCTGTAATATTTAGTTAGTTTTGTATTGGTTCAGTAGCCATCTGAGTGCCTGTGTTGTAGCAGATTTTTTTTTTTTTTAAATGAGCCACAGCCCTGTCTGGTGAGTACAAGAGACACGTGAAGACCTAAATGTAATCTAGTAAGTGCTATGCAGCTTGAAGGTAGGAATGCCTTTCTCCATTCTGCAGTCAGGATGACATCACAAAGGACGAATGGAGTATTTATGTCTGTGTGTTCCCCTCAGCTCCTCCATGAGTAAGGGTCCTCCAGGCTAACTCCTTTTCTTACATGCTCATTTCCTAGTCTGGCATGTAACACAGAGCAACTAGCAAACAATCACTGATCCAGGCGACCAGATGACAGGCCAAAATTTAATGCAGCCCCTGCACCAGGCACCAAGCAGCACTCTACCTGCACACTGAGCTTCTCTGGGTGCAGCTGTGCTCCCAGGGAACTGAAATGTAACAGAACGTCTTTCTTCTTTCGTTCGTTCGTTCGTTCGTTCGTTCGTTCCTTTCTTTTTTAAAACTCTCAGGAAGACTTTCCCCATTGAAGGAACTAGAGAGAGGAATCCCACCAATCCTTTCCACATTGTTAAACATTGTGGATACTACTGTTATATCACTACTACTACTACTACCACCACCACCACCACCACCACTACCACCACCATCTAGCATTTGCTTGATTCTAAGTACCTAATGTATGAACATGAATTTAACCCTCACAAGCCTGTGTGGTGGACATGATCGTTATCTCCATTTTTACAGATCAGGGAAAGGAGGCACGTGAGGCTAGATCATTTGCCCAGGATTAGAGAACTAGTTATTGTACATGCTGGATAGGCTCCCATATCTATGCTCTCTGCCACTCACTCATCTTTCGATCTGGGGTGGTGGCCCTGTCACATCTATCTCTATCTAGTATGTTTAGGTACCAAGTTGGGGCTTCTGCAAGAACAAAGACAGTGGTCACCAAACTACCAAAAGGAGAGGAGGAGAAGAGCTGCAATTTATTTAGCTTTGCTCCCTCCCATTTTTAAATCAAGCTGATATCTAAACAAGAATCAAAACCCAAAGCTCATTAACATCAGTGTGTGCTTCAATAAGGTGAACACTACAATGATGTACAATTACATGCTAATAATTCAATGCCCAAGAGTCCTGTAAAACAATTGCAAAGGCCCAGGATTATCACAGTATGCAAATGCACTAGGAAAATCATTACCTATTTAGTCCCCTTCATTTTGGTGGGTTTAACATGAGAAGAATAATCCATGCTACCAGACGCGATTTCATTTTACAGCTGTAGTAACCAAGTACATAAAAGCCTGAATCTGTCCCAATAGCTTCTAAAAGATTTTTCCCATAGTGTCAGAGGCAAAAATAATGAAATCTTGCAAATGTACAGTAAATAGGACCCTTGTGGACACTAACTTCAAAAATGCATGGTCTATAAGACATTAAAGGCTTGATTTTAGTTTCTGCACTGTTCCTGTTAATAACAATGTCTAATTAAAACATCTGTAAAATACTGATAGTTTTAATTTTACATAAAATTTCCAAAACAACTGTTACACAGTATAATAGGTATCTGCAATGAATAGGTTATTAATGGAAATATTATTTTAAATTAAAATCGGGTTCTAAATTTAAATTAGTCATCTCTGGCTAATGAAGAGAAAAAGAAGTCATCCGTGCTGGGAATAATACAGCAGATAATCTAGTTTTCAACATCCGTTAAAGCAAATTCATTCAATCACTTGGGCCAAAGGACAATTTATTTTGCTGCTTCTGACTTGTACTCCACTTGGCACTTCTGATGGGTTTCACAGCTGAACTGAATATTAAAACTGTAGCGTAATGCATCTTTCAACTTCATTCACAATCTGAACCCATTCTTCCAATTTACCAGTGAGGAGACAGCCGAGAACTCGACTCCCTGCAGTAGCTTCTCCCTCCCAGCCCTGCCTAATCTGATGAATATTTTAAAAGGAATGGCATAAAATCTCAGCTTCCCCTTTTTTCAGGTCTCATCTTCTTTTACAAAATACAACAAAAGAGATAAGCAAGGCTTAGTGGCTAGCTGTATTCAGTACTTTTCTTTCTAATTAGTGCACAATACAAGAGGGTTACACATCTCAGCGCTGGGGGCTGTGTCTGCCTGTGCTGGCGCTGAGTTGGTAAGGGATTCATTCCAGGCGATGAAAAGCTGCGTTTCAAGTTGCTTCTGATTCACATAATGGTTCACAGTAGATGCTGCAGAATGTGGTCCACAGCATGATGGAAACTCTCACATGTTAAGTAAGGAGGTGGACTAATTTTTTCTTCATCTCCTGGTCGGTATTTTCCTGAAATGAAAGTAAAGAAAGTGAACGAAGGCTACTGCTAGAATGTCAGGGATCACAGCCTGTGGACACCTAGGCCACCGCAGAACCACCCTTCCAGTTACTCCAGAATCAGGGTCCATATCTCCCAAAGCACCTTTTACTGAGGTGCAGTGAGGCAATTCAAAGAAATAACACATTCAGCATTTTCCAGGCCTACCTCTAGCCATTCACAGTCATAGGTACTGGGTCACCTGACAGCTAAGGGTCCCTTCAAAACTCCACAGCTGATGAAATCATTTTCTACCCCCACCAGCCCAGAGGATAGAAATGGTGAGTAAAATCAATGCTTTTAAATGCAAGCCCAGACCCCACAGGACAGAGCCCTGTCAGCTCCTGAGGGTGAGCGCTGCCAAGCAGGAGCCCTACGTGCCTGGCAAATGAGAGCACCTGGGGGTGGGAAGGGAAGAGTGATGGATAATCATAGGCCCGAGCCAGACCATGTGCATGGCAGGGACTCAAGGGGCAGGACACTGCGCAACTTGCCCCAGATTCTGAAATTTAAGACACACAAATGAATATCCCAACACAGCAGAGGCCCCATTTCACACAGTGGTCACAGAGAGCTTTTACCAATGAAAATCAGATGACTTGTGGTCCCTATTTCAACACTCTTACTGGGTCCCACAGCCCTTCAGAAAGAGCCCCCAAATCTCTATTGTTACCCAGCAGGCCTCTGACATGGGCCCTAGCAGCCCCCTCACGCCGGCATGTGCACTTATCACAGGCTGCAGTCCTAGACTGGACCTGGCTCTTTTGAGGACCTCCATACCTACTATTCTTTGCCTGGAACATTCTTCTCACCCGACTATCACCCTTATGCTTCAAGTCAGATTCCATATTCCATCCAAATTAGATCCCCTCCCTGTTATTCTCTCTTAGTAGCCTGTTTTTCTTTGTTTGTTTGTTTGTTTTTTGCCTCCACGATATTTATAACAATTTATAATTATTTATGTATTTGTTTAATGTCTGACTCACACCTGAGATTCTTAAACTCTCTGAGAGTAGGCACTAGGTCTCTTATATTCCCCAATGTACCCTCAGCACCTGACATGACTAGCAAATTCCACAATTAATTTTTAAGAATGGAAGGAGAGCCCAGCAGGTATGACTCAGTGGTTGAGCTTCAACCTATGAACCAGGAGGTTGCAGTTCAATTCCTGGTCAGGGCACATGCCTGGGTTGCAGGCTCCATCCCCAGTACAAGGTGCACAGGAGGCAGCTGATCAATGATTCTATCTCATCATTGATGTTTTTATCTCTCCCTTTTCCTTCCTCTCTGAAATCAATAAAACTATTTAAAAAAAAATGGAAGAAAAGAAGGTAGGAAGAAGTGTTGGGAAGATATTAATTAAAGAACTTATATGCATATATGCATAACCCATGGACAGACAATAGTGCAGTGAAGGCCTGGGGGAGGAGGGTACAGGATAGAGGGAGTAAAAATAGAAAAAAGGGAGACATCTGTAATACTTTCAACAATAAAGGTTAAAAAATAATGAAATAAAATAAAATAAGAAGGGAAAGAAGAATTGCAAAACATTGCTTCAGCTGAGGTCTTGAGGAAGAGGCTGGAGGAAGCTAATGACTATTGCTCTATCACCTAATCCCTGCACCCCATGGTCTAAGGGCAATACGTGAAAGGCAAGTTTGTTGGCCATGTTGATAAGGGCTCGCAGAATGCTTTTGCATATGCTGGCCAGCAAGTGGGCTTTCTACAAAGTACATATTGACACAGTGGCTTACATATGTGTGATAGCTCTAGCACCTCCACTGTGTCAGGCATACAGCTGGTGCTCAATAATGTTGGATGAGAGAATGAAGCAGCCACCATCACTCCTGCTTGACCCACTCACTGTGGCAGTCTGGGCTTCTCTGGATGGATAAGTGAATGGGCTTCCTGATCTTCTTAGTATTGCACAGTGTGGGCCCTCTCATGTGTTTTTTTCCTGCAATCCTAAGACCATTTTATTTTTGCTTTGCGGCAGAAAGAGAATTACAGTGTCCAGTGATTTGGCTTTGCTATTTCTGTAAGAACTTTCCTTTAAGCAACTCTGTATTCCACCATCATGTTTTAGAGAAGGCTTATACAGAAGATACATACCAGTTTTTACTAAGATGCCCAGCATGCCAACATCCTGAGCCCCACCAACATCAACTTTGTAATCCTAGAAAGCACAAAGAAAGCAGTTAGTACCAGGTCTTCAATTTACTTGCCGATAAAACCCTACCCACCAACTGGTTTGACTTCTTAGGCTGGGGGATGGCGAACTGTAACCCCATGTTTGTTTGTTTAATGAAAGACAGGAAGATGTAAAAATGGGTAAATTCACATGTAATAGTCTGAGGCAGTACACCATTTGGAAAGGGAAGAGTCATAGAAGTGGAAGGTATACAACAGAGCAGTCATTCTAGTACCAAACACAAAGAGCACAGTCCCAGTTCTTCAATGTGTGCATCGATCTTCTCTCAAAACAGATCATAGAAAAAGCCTTCTATCCATTTGGCAGCTTTTAAGGTGGATGATCCAATTGCAAATAGTGAGTGAACTAGACTCAGAAGAAAGCTTTTCTGCTGCTCATCTTATTGCCTAATAATAGACAAACATGTAAACTGACCATACCTTCACTACACCCACAGCCAGTCAGGAGTGAGTATGCAAATTAACCTGACAAATATGGTGGTTTGGTTTGCATATGCAGGTGCAGAGCAGCACAGAGGGGCAGGATGCCTGCTATGAGGGAGGCAGAGGGAGCTACAGGAGAAGTGCTCTGGTGGGGAGCAAGGACTTGCAGGCTCCCAGGCGGCCAGGAGCAAATCCAGGAGAAGGAAGGCTTATTCTTGCATGAATATTGTGTAACGGACCTCTAGTGTAATATATTATCCTTACCTTCCATCTGATTATCACTAACAACTGCAATCAAGTCAAATCAGTATTTTTAGACTGTGGGACTGTCTGACATTCACTTCACACTTGGGAACAGCAGATCAATTAGAAGAGGAGGTCCTCTTTCCAATTCTTACTCATGATGGGGATGAATAGGCTTGGTTGATTGTGATGATAAACACAAGGTAATAAAATCCAAGAACTGGGAGAAACATTAAGAAAATCAATCCTGTTATCTCATATCTATAAGCAAGTTTCATTCAGATCATGCCTGAAGAAAATGAAGATGGAGGAATGGAAGAGAAGGAAGGGAGGTGGGGAAAAGTGGACAAAGAAAGGGAGGGAAGAAACCGCCACTCTCTGGGATAACAAAGGACCCTGCACAAAGCTTCTATTGCATGCATTTCCTGCCTCCCACCCTGTCCCAAAACCAGTATCTTCTGGGATAAAAAACTCCAATAACCACTTTTCAAACACATATTTGCCTAGGAAAGTCAGATAAAGACTTGCCAAGAAGAATAGATGTGACTGAAAAGATGGCTTCTGAAAACAATACCAAGTTCAATGACTATCCTATTCAGTGTGAGATGAACACACAGAAGTGAAAGGGTATCAGGAGAACCATGAAACACTTGCACCATCACAAGTTAAGAAAGCAAGAGATCTACAGTTTGTCTTGGCAGGCATCCAGAGCCTCAAGTTTTACTTCCAGCTGTGCCACTAATTAGCTACAGGAATGGAGGCATGCAGACTTCCGGCTCCATTTTTCAGCTTCCCAGTCAGAAAATGGAGAGATTCAGACCAGACAATCTTGATGGTCCCTTCCAGCCTAACAAGTTATTACTTATAACTAAAATATACTAGTAATCACTGCCACCTATTTGACACAAGGCAGTGTGCTTTCTAGCTCCTTCTCCCTCATGGCACACGTGGATGCTTCCCCAGGACATTAGAGTAAACTGGCAAGGTTCTCACAGCTAGTGTCTCCAAACGTCCAGACCTGCCACTCAAAGGGCTGAGGCAATCAATACCTGTAGCTATAATATTTGTGACACATTGGGAAGTTCTTCCATATAGCATACACTAAGAAAAAAATCAACAATGGTAGAATTCTTTTGGTATAGGCTGTTCCCTGCATAAGTAATATTAGAAAAATCTAAATTTCTGTAAAGTTTTCTTTAAAAACACATATCAAGCATTTGATTGACTTGCGTTTAATGGTCTTTTGAATTATATATATCTTATCATACTATAGAGCAGTGGTTCTCAACCTTTCTAATGCCACAACCCTTTAATACAGTTTATCATGTTGTGGTGACCCCAACCATAAAATTATTTTCATTGCTACTTCATAACTGTAATTTTGCTACTGTTATGAATCACACTGTAAATATCTGTGTTTTCTGATGGCCTTAGGCTCTATAGCAACGAATCTCAACCTGTGAGTCACGATCCACAGGTTGAGAACCACTAGCAGGGTCGCTTAAGACCATCGGAAAACACAGATATTTACACATTATGATTCATAACAGTAGCAAAATTACAGTTATGAAGTAGCAATGAAAATAATTTTATGGTTGGGGGTCACCACAACATGAGAAACTGTATTAAAGGGTCGCGGCATTAGAAAGGTTGAGAACCATTGCTATAGAGAATGTCAGTTCTTTAGAAGAATACCACTATACATCTTCCTGAAGCCTGACTTAGTGGCAGCCATTTTCTCCATCTGATGTTGTCAGCAGCAGAGTCTGCTTGGGTGTGAAGCAGTGCTTCCAAGCTGGCTCAGCCCAGCATGGCAAGTGAACTCAGGGCATTTCCTGGGCTCTGCTACTTACGTCTCCTATCATGACGGCCTCTTCAGGTCCACAGCCAGTGCCCCGCAGTGCTTCCAAAAAGAATGTCTTCTCTGGTTTTCCTACTACTATGGCTTCGGTATCTGTGGCATACTCCAAAGCAGTCACAAATGGTCCAGGCCCCAGGGCTAAGCCATCTGTCTTCTTGTAATACCTGGATTTGTGGATTGCTATCAGAGGTGCCCCATTCAGGATTAAGCTAAAGAGACAGAGAAAATGGAGACTGACTAAAAGCAAGGCCTTTATGATTGGAAAAGAATGTCAGGCTTACAAAGTGGTTTTACAGCCTTCACATTCACAGAAACAAAGAGTTTCTTATTAACTTTTAATGACTTGCTATCTTCTAATGAATTCTCTAAGAACTGCTGGGAATTAAACTCAAATACACTGAAGAAAGGTGATAGATTATTAAATTTGGGATTGCTTCAACCTTTTACCTTTAGAGGTTTCAGACACTTTATCCAAATCACCAGGGAAAGAGAATTAAGAGAAGTAAAGCTAAATAAGACACTCGAGGGAAGAAGCTTAACTTAATGAGACAAGTTGTTTTAACCTTCCCTAATGGTAAGCAGGAGGCTCTTGAGCCCTTTCCAGTATCACAACTGTTGCTGCAGTGACACATTCAGCTAACTCCCAAATACCTGACTTCTGTTTTCTCTACTCCAATATTTAAGTTTCTTTCTAATTCAGGCTTGAACCTTTAAGTCTTCATTCTACCTTTTGACTGCTTCTGACATTATTTTGCAAATCAGACCTCCTTCCCTGAAGGACACACCAACAAGGTTTAAGGGAGAGCCTTTACTGCCACATCTCTTTTGTTATCCTGATATTAGGATAATTATTCTCATACCAAATAAAGAGCACAAAGCATTTTACCATTAATTTGATAACCAATCTTTACATATACTTAAGAATCCTCAGTAGTGACTTAGGCAAAACATAAAACAAACCAAAAAGACCCTACCAACAACTTCTTAATACTCACCACCCAACCCCCATTCAAAAAAATCTGCCTGTAGTCTCATAGCAAAAGAGTCACACTAATATTATGCAGGACATGATACACTGAATCTGCTTTTAACCAATGCAATGAATGATCTCACAAAATTAATTTACTTTAAGCCATCTACTTAGTTAAAATATTTAGTATGTACATCAAGAAAGAACTTACACATCTTACCCTTCACAATTATGAGTAATTAAGTGCTCAGCTATGAAAGTGCTAAATTATTTTTGTCGGTGGGCATGGAAATGCCTTCCTGTGGGATATGCAAAATTCAGACATTTATGATTAAACATTTTATTAAGTAAAAACCAATACTGGACTATTACAGGGCCTTTCTGTTAGTTACTACAAATTGCTCACAGCACAGGATAGATCCTTCAAATTTATTCACTAATATTAATGCAAGTTTATTTCTTAAAGCAGACCTTAAAATCTAGCTGTTAGGAAACCTGAAAAAGCCACTATGCTGGCCTTAAAGAACCACAGCTGATAGCAATGAGATAATAATGGGTGATTTATCTATCTCCCTTCTTGTCACCCACCCCCAATCCCATTTATTTTCTACTCTACCACGGAACTGGAATTCTTTATGCAACAGACCTCAAAATTGCTTTCCACTTACATAGCTAAACTAAAAACTCATTTGATTTGGCTTTGTTAATATTTTATTATGTATTAACTGGGGATAAGACTTATCAGCCTGATTGATGTGTGTACTCAATTCCCAGGCAGTGCTTTAGTGCCTTCCCTGAAAGGGCTGAGGCTGTGGGCTCCTCCACATGTCTCTAAGTGGAAACTGGACTACACGAGGCTGGAAGAGATAGGCATCTCTCGGGGAAGTGGTTCCTGCTTCTATCATCCTCTGCACAGCATAAGCTTTACCGAGTCTTTGAAGAGCCAAGCATATTCAGGACAGACTGAAAAGTAAAAATTTTCTAGGAAACAGATTAGAACTTTTATAACTAAACTAGTGGCCCAGTACATGAAATTCGTGTACATAAAAAGGGATTAGAGGAAATATTTTAATGTTGTTCTTTGCCTTTCTCTATAATAGAAGTGTTAGAGATGAAAGAAAAGTAGTAAAATGCATATGAAAATCTCCCTTCTGTCAGACTCTGGGGCGAGCCACAGGACCCAGAGTCAAGTCCCCGTCCACCCGCGCGCCTCGAAATCACTCGAGACAGACCCGGCCAGCCTCGTCAAGCCCCGCAGGGTGGGGGGCGAAGCCTCAGGTCCCCCAGCTCTAGTGCGAGGGCATGACGACCTTTGCATATTAGCTCATTATTATATAGGACATTTTTTGAAATATCAAAAATAGACACTCCAATACTTGGGATTGTTTTTATATCTATTAGGCCAGCAAAGGGTTGGCTGTTTTTGATACCAGAAATAATGTATCAGAAGGAAATGTTCTGATAATTTTCTGTCTATATCTAATTATAAAACCACCGAAGTGCAAGAAGCAAGGAAAAAAGGGCACAAAGGCCTGATGCAAAAAACGCTGGCTGTGATTTCCGTGTGGGCAATGGAACAAACTGAAAAATCCTACCGAGGGGCAGGGCCACAACAGAAACATCTTAGGCAAACATCTAGTTCAGTAATTCTGAACCAGGGGCAGTTTTGCTACCCAGTGACATTTGGCAGCGCCTGAAGACTTTCTGGTTGTCACAACTGGGGAAAAAGGGGTGTTACTTGCATCTAGTGGATAGAAGCCAGGGATGCTGCTAAACATCCTACAATGCATAGTACTGCCTCCATCTAGCCCCAAGGTATTTTCTGGTCCAGAATGTAGTGTCCGTACTTCTTAAAATAGGTACCAGCAAATCACTTCATGTGGGCCTCGGTTTTCTTATTAATGAAGGGACTAAACTATCAGGATTTTTCAACCTTAGCACAACGAGACATTTTGACAATTGGGCTCTATCAAAATTAAGAACATCATGTTCTCATACTTTAAGAGCACAAAAAGGCAGGGATAAAGTATCTATAAATATATATATATATCCATGTATATATAATGAGTTCCATCATATACACAAATCAGTAAGAAAAATACAACCCAATCAGAAAAGGTAAAAGATTTGAATGGGCACACTGCAAAGAAATTATCCACTGGTCAATAAGTACATGAAAATGTTTCAAGAACATTACTCACCAGGGAAACACAAACTGAAATTCAGTAAAATACCATTATACACACCAAACAGAATAGCTGCAATTACACAGACTGGTCAGAGATTGGGGGGATTTGGAGCAACTGAAACTCACTCATCGCCAGTGGGAATATATGACTTGCTATAATGACTTTAGAAAATTGTTCAGCAATATTTACTAAAGCTAAACAAGTACTTATTACCCAGTAATTCCACTACTCTACAGACCTAAGAGAAATTAGCACATACATCCCCCAAAAGACATGTAAAGACATGTTGAAGAGCATTCATAGCAGCTTTATTCATAACATCCCAAACTGGAAACCATCCAAATGAACAAGAAATAAATTGTGGGAAAGTCAAACAATAGGCTACTACACAACAAAAATAAATAAGAAACAAAACAACAAGAAAGTAGTGCTACCTGCAACAACTTGGATAAATCTCGACAACAGACAAAAATTATACAATTGTATGATTTAATTCATATGAAGACCAAAAACTGGAAATGTTCTAGATCTTGATCAGAGAGTTATGCAGGTATATATCTATGTGTAAAATGCTACTGACTTGTATATTGACAATTTGTGTACTTTACTGTGAATGTTACAGATTAATAAAAAAGTAACAGAATATATTTATGTGGCTTTTTAAACTGCAACTTTTATTTAGAGTAGCAAAAGTTGCCTTGATCGTGTAACAATATCCCCAAATTAAAAAATAAGAACTGCCGAAACTGGTTTGGCTCAGTGGATAGAGCGCGGGCCTGGGGATTTAAGGGTCCCAGGTTCGATTCCGGTCGGGGGCATGTGCCTGGGTTGCGGGCACATCCCCAGTAGGGGGTGTGCAGGAGGCAGCTGATCTGTGTTTCTCTCTCATAGATATTTCTAACTCCGTATCCTTCTCCCTTCCTCTCTGTAAAAAAATCAATAAAATATATTTAAAAAAATAAAAAATAAGGGCAGTTAGTGACAGATATTAAACTCAATTCTGTACTCTGTGGATTTCAAATAGGGATATAAAGTGGTTCTCTTGCATATACTAATGGAATACTTTAAACAACTCAAGTTCTTAAGTCTTAAACAATGTTTCATAGTCTGGATTTGAATTAAGAAATTGCAAAGCAGCAGTCAGCACTTTCAAAATGGATAAAGCCCACAGAAATATTTCTAATGTGAGTCCTGCTGTCACACTGTTCTGGAATTCCTCATGCTTGAGACTTTAAATACTTAGAAAAGATGCACGAGTTTCTGTACAAATGCAATAATAATTGAAAGTCATAGTTTTAGACCTTTTTTCTCCCCTTCTCTTCTTCCCTTTCTAAGGAATTAGATATATTGGAGCAATTAATTTTTTATTTTTTTTTCTTGAGGAGACTGGAAAAGAACAGCAATCTAACAGTCCACAGAAACCATTTATGGTGATAAAAATCTCCTCCTGAAAAACAAAAAAATTAACTTCTGCACATCTCTAAGACTTTTCGAGGATTCTCACACCTTGTAATAATTATAGGAAAGAAATCATTAACTTCAAAATTAAGTCATTTTGAATCTTCAAAACGTTGCTCTTAAGCAGCCTTATACCTCTTGCATTTACATGTGAAAGTTGTGATGTTACTTATTTTTAAGTAGAATAACTTGTTTGTTTTGTTAATCCTCACCTGAGGATACTTTTCCATTGCTTTTTAGAGAGAGTGGAAGGGAAGGGGAGAGGCAGAGATAGAGAAACATAGATGTGAAATAGACATATTGATTAGTCGCCTATTACATGGGCTTGTAACTGAGGTAACGTGCCCTTGACCAGAATGGAACTCAGGACCTTTCAGTCCTGGGACCATGGCCCTACCCACTGAGCCAAAGTGACTGGGGCTAGAATAACATTTTAAATAAGCTCTTCTAGAGGCTGGAGAGCAGTTGCTCTTAATTTATTTTAAAAACTTGAACTTTTCCTAGGTCAAGCTATTCCATGCAGCTTTTCCTTAAAATTCCTTTGATCCAACAACTATACTTCTGAAAAAAATTTAAGGAACAAACATAAATATTGCTTAACTAATGTTCTCAAAGGTGGTGTTTTTCTTAAGTTAACTTCAAAAACCTGGAAATAACCAACAATAAGGAACCTGGCTATTCAACTAATTGCACTTCTGAGAGTGGAATATGCTAAGGGAATCAAACATGTTTTAGAAGAATATTTAAGAATGTGGAAAAACATGCCCAACATAATATTGGGTTTTTAAAAAGCAAATTACCACATAGTAGACATACAGAGTATATATAGATTCTCATTTTTTGCCTAAATAGATATATGCATGGAAACAAACTAGCTAGATGGAAGAATTTTGTTTATTCTCTTTGAGCATATATAATTTTCCACAATGAAGACATATTACTTTTGTGTTGTGATATTTCTTTATCTTGTTAATGCTAAGTTCAAATTAAATTATTAAGTGAGCTGCTTGCCCAGGTAGCCCTCTTCCTAATAGAGATCATTAAATTTAGTTGTAATTGGTCCATTACTAAAATGCTCAAGTCTAAACTGAGGTCAGAAGATGAAAAAGACATTGCTACAAGCTTGTACCACAACTGTGAAAATGAATACACCAGAGCTATAGATATTCATTTTGATGAGTCATACAATATTACTAGGGAAGAAAGCAATTGATAAGTAAAGTATAAAACATGCAAAATAATACCATATACTGTTTAGGAATATCTTTTAAAAAATGCATGTAAATGAATAACACAATTCAGAATCCTGATTAATTTTAGGTGTTGGGTGATAAAATTGGGGAAGGATATGCAGGGATATCACATGTGTCAATACTTATATTTCTGGAACTGTTTGATAGGCTTAAGGATGTTTGTTATATTATCCCTTGTATATTTTAGTGTTATTAGGTAAAAGGAAAAAAGACACCACTGGCTCTTCGAATTTAAATGTTTTCTATCTAGAATCCAATCCCCAAATCATGTCTATTTCTTCTTTAAAAATCAATCTCTAGAATGCAGTATCCTCAATTCATTCAAACACTTAGGACATAGGTATAGCCAGATTGCATTATGCATTTTTGGGGGGCCTACCCATTTGAAATAGTAAATAAGAGGCAGTGTAATGTGGAAGGCTAATGCATCCACCTGAGGGCAATAGGCCTCTGAAGCTGGTGTTCAAGGCAGCTATGCCATGGGGTTTAAAATCCAATGTTTATTCTCATTATCAACCTGAACAGTAATTTAACTAATCGGTGGTTCACTTGAGATGTCTATATTTGCCACTTACAATCCAAACAGCTGTAGTCACTGGTTGGAAGGCACAGCCTCTGTGGAGACATCAATATGCAAAGAAGGGCAAGACCTGAAATCCTTCTGTTAACTCTCCACCCAGCTGTTAAGTGCATTTGTGAAATTAGAGTTGACCTATAAGTGCACTGTAATGCTTCAAAGTGTAGTGTTTAAAAAAATCAATATGGTTAGGGAAGTGTACTAATTAGACAGCATCCGAGCAATTATAAAGTCAGTATTATGTCAACATACATTTTTATTACCCTGAGCCAAGCATTCATCTAAGGCAGAGACCTATTAAATATGTCCTTCCCAAATTACTAGCTAAAAATCAATCAATACCTTCTCCTTGAATTCTGTGGTTAAAGAAATGAATAAAAGATAGTAGGAGTAAATTCGGAAGTAGGTTCTCTATTTCAAATGAAAACCAATTTTGGAATAGCTGTAAACCTTACTTAAGGAGCAGGTGATATAATATTGCCCCCACCCCAACCCCAAGAAGTCACAGAATAACTGAAGTAGGTGAAGCAAAAGAAATTTTACCACCACATACCCCCACATATTTCTTCACGCATGTGGCACAGCAGTGGACCTCCAGATAATAACTACAGTAAGCGGATACTGAGCAACTATAAAAAGCGAGTACGTTACTTTTAAACAAAGGCTAGACTATCACAATGACTACGTAAGTGCATTAAGTAGCTGTAGATTCCATTAACTGAGGCTCTAAAATGCACACAGGGAAAAAGGTGCTATTTCTGGCCACACAGATTGTACACGAGGACAGCCATTTTCAAGATTAACAGCAAATAATGTGCCCAGATGTGTGAGCTTTGTAGTGATTCAATAAATGAATTCTACATGAAATATAAGTTCGAATGATTCTTGTAGATCTTTCTACTGTAAGAAAATGATGTTTTTATAGCATTCTTGACATTAAATACCCAAAATTTATCAAACCACTTAATAAAAAGTTTGAAGCTAGTTCAATGTATCCCTATATAATATTTTGAGCTACTTGTCATAAAGAAAAGACAAAGTATACTGTTTAATGGTTTGATAAGCAGTAAAAAACAAGGTAAGATGAGAGATGAGAAAAATCCAAAAGAAAAAAGTCACAATCTCACTGTAGACCAGATTTGTAAGTAAATTCTGATCCAGTTTATCTTAGGAAGTATGATAACCAGTATGCACTCTGCCCTTTGTAAGCAGCAGCAAAAGTTCATAAAAGTAAAATGCACACATCACTGAAGATTTATAACATTATATTGTGTTAGTTGTGTTTCCCCCAATTTCAACCAACAGCCATCGGAGCATCTCCACTTAGATGTCCCACATGCCAAACAGCCTCAACCTGAACTAATTGCCTCCGGGACCCCACACAGGGAGTGTTCTCCATCACGTGTGCCCAGGTGAGAAATATGACGTCCTCCCTGACTCACAGCCCTTCTTCACTTCCTAAACTGAATCACTCATCAAGTCGTGTGAATACTACCTGAACCTGGTTTTCTTCATCCCTACTACTATTCCAGTTCAGACTACCGTTAGCACCCATAGTATAATTTCCTTGCAAGTATGATCAAATGCGTGGATTCTCACTGAAAGAAGAGTCACATTTACTGTTTTGGAAGCATTAGCCTTGATGCTGTTTTCTGTTAGAAATTAGCATATTCAGTGCAAAATTACAGGAGTGATGATAAAAGATAAAACTGTTAGCTTTTAGAGATGCAATTTTATTATGGATTTCTGCTCCAGAATACTGATTCTATAAAAACAAACAAACCAAGATCATCTCATTTTAACATATTGATAATTTTTTAAAAACTAAGCAGAATAATTCTATATAATAAAGAGGCAATATGCAAATTGACCCTCACACCCTCACAAGATGGCTGCCTACAACCTTGGGATCAGGCTTAAACTGGCAGTCAGACATCCCCCAAGAGATCCCGGATTGGAGAGGGTGCAGGCTGGGCTGAGGGGATACCTCCTCCCATGCATGAATTTCATGCAACCGACTTCTAGTAAATAATATTTGATATTGATCTTAAAGTGATTTTGAAAATGTGTGTCTTCATGTACAATCTAGATGGTTGGAAAGTAAAACATGTATAACCTACATGACAAAGATTCAAGAAGGGAATGAAGAAAGTATATGACCAGATGAAAAATAAATAGCTAAATAGCTAGAGACTCACCGGAATGCTTCATTTAGAGTTTGATAATGAAAATGTTCTGGTGCCAATCCTATGACCACAGCATTAGGATCTCTTGTTTGTATTCCTTGGAATGAAAAAATATGATTGTTGAAAAATGCAATTAAAAATAATGTTACATTTTATAATAAAGAGTTTTAGTAAACCAAGTACAAATTTTTATTGTAGCAATAATCTGAAGTTTAAGAGATTATCCTGTGGCAATAGTGAAAGAGATACTTAAAAAAAGAAAAAATTTTCCTAGTATTTTTGCATATTGCTTTTGCATGGTTTTACAGCTACTCATTAACTAGAATCTGAGTTGAAACTTGTCACCTAATGTTCTCAAACAAGTAATTTCTAACTTCAAAAAGCTTTACTGATTACAATCAACAAGAACAGCCATGAATTCCCTATGAGCTATCAGATCAATAGCAACTGATGAGGAAATGAAAATCTAAGAGGCAAGGGAAATTAGACATTCCAATTGACAGTTGAGGTTAACATATTCATGATAAACATGGAATGCACTGTAGACTCTACTATTTTCTACATAATGTCTCATCTCCTTTTAGTGTCACAAATACCACTCCATAATTTACCGGTAGGTATATTTTAAGGCCTTGGTACCTGATAATAAGACTTCAAATATGACAACCAAACAAACATATTCACGAACTAAAAGTCAGACGGTTCTGTAGATTACCCATATGCCATTCCTATTTGCCTCTCTTACTGCTTGCCTTAAAGCATTTTTCATATCAATTCCACCAAAATGTAAGGGAAAGATATAGGAAAAGTAGATAGCCAGCTTTCCTATTTCCTTCTTACTAGCATCCATGATTACTGAGTAATTGGTTAAAGTTTGCTGAAGGAAGAAAAGGCTAAAATTAGAGTTAAAGTTTTTTGTTTTCCTTCTATTAACTCCATCTGCCACTAGCAAAGATATTCAATAACAGATAGAAATTTCTTGCCTTTCAAAAACCCACCTACTTTGGATATTTTCACGTATATAAGGATGTTCCTGGACTGACTGACAAAGATTTCTTATTATGAACTCTGCTTATATATCCCAACTACAGCTCACTGTCCATACACTAGAATCTTAACTTTCTTCAAATAAAGTCAAGAGAGAAAAATCTGATTAAAATATTGTTTTATAGTAGTTCAGCTAAGCCAGGGACACAAATACACTGTAGATACATGCAGAACGTCCCTAATCATTGTTTGTATACCTATAACATGGTTTTATACCCATTTTTCTATATTGTGTCATTTCATTCTAATTACAAAACAAAGTAATGTGGCAAAGTTTCATAAAACTAGGACATTTTTCCAGAGTTTATTAATTTACAAAGAGAAAACAGTTTGATTGAAATATTTCATAATCACTGCTAAAATTTCATACTATACAGAATGACACCAATTTTTAAATAAGGTGATTGTGGATTATCTCATTTAATTAAATTAATACAGTAGCTCTTGGATCCAGGATTATAATACTCAAAGTAATTTTGAACTGTGCTTTTTCAAACTGTGGGCCATGATCCATTAGATTACAAAACTAATTTGGAGAGCTCTAAATAGCATCAAAATCAAATAAACAAGTAAACCAAACAGAAAATAGGGTTCTTCTCATACAGTAAAAGTATTGTTTAGCATATATATAAACACACACATATATGTACTAGGTTACTATGTAATGTGTTTCACTTACTGTGGAGTACGGTCAGAACAAGTTTGAGAAATACCAATTTAGATTCAAGAGATCTGTTGACCCTTTCAACAATAATAGGAGGAAATCTGAATAAATATATCTAAATATTCAGTTTAAGAATAATTTATAAGAAGATATGAAGAACCAATTTTTAAATCTTTGCAATTTCCCCTACCTTTGAAATCAGCTAATGCCTGATCGTGAACTAGCAACATGGGCCGGACTTGTTTCTCCTCTAGTAAGTTTCTGGCTGCAATCATAGAAGTAAATATCTCATCTTCAGAGATATCAAACTCCAACTTTTTCAACCTTGCCAGTAGGTCTCTCTTGCTCTCTTTGGTTGTATTGGTCACAAACCTAACCGTTAGAGAAGCAGCACGCAACCTGGAAAAGTAAATTCAGATGTCAACAGGCAGCCTTTACATTCTAGCCCCATAAGATCTCCTAAATTGGTAGCACTTGCCAACAGTCCTAAAATGAAGGCTAAGTCATCAAGTAAATGTTTTTATTACCAGTAATCTTTTTGTTATCTACCCAGAATTGCTTACATATTATTCACACTGTCTGGACCATTTTATTGCCAAAGGCTACAAAGTAAATTGTAAAAGCTGTGTCTACCTTTTTGAGAACATCTGTACTTCAATTGAATTTTATTGCAGGGATTTATCAAAGAAGTGAAAAACAAACACACATCAAGCTTAGTAACCATTATACTCACAGAATATGAGAGGTAAAAGTTACCTTAGAGATTATTTACTTGTGTAACCCTCTCTTCTTATAAAAGGAGAAAACTGAGGCCTAGAGGAGCTAAGTGACCCGCTCAGCTTCATACACTGGGTAGCAGAAGAGCTGAGACGAGGACTCCAATCTATGTCCTGGTACAGGACTCGATCTCCTATACTAGAGAACAGAAGACACCTCAAGAAGTTGTTTTTCCTTCTTAGACAATCAGAAGATGTGCTACCAAATTTATAAACAGAATCTATCTGGATAATCTATCAAAGAAAATATTTTATTTTCTTTTTAAATAAAATGTGTTTTTCCCTAGAACTACTTAACATATAGAATTGTTTTGATTCTGTGATCTGTTTTTGGAACCTAAATTGGCAATCGGATATCAGAGAAAGAATTTGACAGTCTAGCTTTCTTTAAAAATGAAAATTATTTTCTCAGTCCTAAAGTGTTTTAATCCAAAAATCTAAAAATAATTTTATTTTAGCTACAATTAAGATTTTATATTAATACCCTATTGCTTTTTATTTTGTGCCTGCCCCAAATGAATACAAGGTGGAAAAGCACTAAACGCAATTGAAAACAAGCAAGCAAATAAAACAGAAATAGAGATTTTTTAAGTATTCACCCAAAGAACATTAACTAAATTTATAAGATTAAATAGTTCACTGTAATCATGGTTGCCTCTATAATATCTGTGTGGTAGCTTTTCTTAAAAGCACATTAAACTTGGTGGTGTATCTCTCAAAAGAAACTGATTATTTCAACGTAACTATTATCCTAAAAATGAACAAGTAGAAGTACTGAAATAACCATCTCATTTTTAATGAGGATTTAAAAAAACTTTTCTTTTACTGGTCCCTCAACTTCCCTTAGCCTGTTTGTTTCTATAGAAACCAAAATCAGCCATAGCAGTATAGTGATGCCTCTGGATGTGTAATTCGCAGGCTCCTGCCCCTCCAGAATGGCAGTCTCATAGTTACAGAGCTACTTAGTGGTGTCATTCATTGCTTACCAGAAATAAAAAGATTTGTCTTCAGTACAAAGTAAAAAGCTTATCTTTACAGCAGTAAAATCTCCTTCCCGGAGAAAGCCTAATTAAGAGACAGTGTCAAGAAGTCAAGAGAAAGTCCAATGGTGCGTCTGACTTTCTTTTGGCTTTAACCGGTTAACTGCCACGATATTTTGAATTTAATTAAAAAAGGTCCGCTGCTTGCGTCTATAGACACTTATGGTGTACAAATGGTTAAACAACATGGTTCATGTTAAACCTATAACATGAACATCATGACTCCTAACTAAACTGATAGCTTCCAAATGATGCCTATCAGATGCATAAATCTCTTTTATTACCCAAATCGAAGGTAAGCTCCTTGAGAGAATGCAAGCAAGATCTGAGTCAATTTTTGGCCCGTATACCTGGTGTTGTGATACTAGTCACTAGAACTCCTAAGACTATTTTAAGGTAGGAAAATAATAAACACCACATGCTAAATATTGCTGACTTTCAAAACTTCTCTAAATAATTTTAATATGAAGGTATTTAATACCAATTAACAGTACTATTGTACTGATTTTTTTTCAGGACACTCACATTTAGTTTACTTTTTAAAAAAATATATGTTTTTATTGATTTTTTTAGAGAGGAAGAAAAAGGAATGAAGAGATAGAAACATCAATGAGAAGCATCCTCCGTTGGCTGCCTCCTGCATGCCCTCTACTAGGGATCCAGTCTGCCATCCAGGCATGTGCCCCAACTGGATTCAGTGACCTCTTGGATCCTAGGTCTACACTCAATCACTGAACCACACTGACCGGGACATGTTCAGTTTGCTTTTACTGTGTATCCTCGTTTGTATCGAGACAGGTTAAGTACTATGGTTGATACCAGAAATATAAAACAGTCGCTAACCTTCAAAGACATTACAAATACATCTCATTGATAGAAATAATTCTAAAATTTCAAGTCCCTCAATTACATTTTATTTGAGTTGCTGCACACTTAATGCTAGATCTTAGGTGAAAGGGGAGTGGGCAGCACTATGCCTTTGTGTATGTGTGTGTGTTTCACTTTGTGGTTCCTTCATTTGTGATTTTTTTCCAATGCTATTTCCTCTGACATATTAGAATCTTGAGTTTTCATTCAGGAATTTACCTTACTGACTTAGGAAAAAACATGCACACAAAGAACAACAAGAACAGATCAAAAGGCCAAACCTAATAAAGGCTTAGAGAACAATGTTTGGAAGATATTACAATGCATACATCTTCTAGCTAAACCCAAGGCAGTTTTTGTATATATGGTAAGCTGGTGAAATGCCATTTTAAGGTCATCCATTCAGCTAATGATCTGCCTTGGTAAAACGGCACTTACAAACATATTTGTCAGCTGAACCTATAGGGTAGCTTGCCTTTTAAGAGCTTCCTGTGCGCCTGGCAAAGCTGTATCTTCCACGTGAATTGTGCCACTGAGATCTACCAAAACAGCTTTTAATGCACGGCGAGCTGCCATCCTTCATTCCCTAGGAGAGAGCAAATGAAATTAAAAATACAGTTTAGGAAACAATGGACAATTAAAAACTGGGAAGTCTTCAAAAATATCACTCATATCCAGAAAACACAGCTTAGTGTTAAGCTGTTTCTTTTTGGGGAAAATGCATTTTTTTTTTTTAAATAAAAATCCAAAATTTGACTCATAAAACTTTCATAATGCTTAGTTGTTTTTTTGTTGTTTTTTTAATCTTTAATTAAAACTATAAAGGGAAAAGGGGGAGTTAATAAAAAGAAGTTTGTATTTACTTTCAGGATTCTTAAAATAACTCTTTGATTTAACAATTTATTCATTTATTTTAGTTAGAAATATCAGAATAATGTACTCTGAAGAATGGGTGTATAGGAGCACTGATTCACTAGCAACATCTTTTTCATCTTTGATTTCAGGTGATGACTATGTTCTAATCACTCACCTCCACTATAACCTGAAATGACATATCTGGCCAAGGAGCTAACAGTATGTACAAGTTACTGTATAACTTGACCTGTAACAGCATGTGCTGGTCAAATCATACAGTAACTTTCAAGTCAGGAAATACTGTTCTTACTTAGTAATATAAAAGCTCCTTTTGCCTATTTTCTCTTTAAAATTTATTGTGAGCTATATCCTAAACACAGTGGAGTATAAGGTATGATTTAAAAATGAAATAAAAATAATGAAATATTTCAGACATACAAAAAAGGTATCAAGAATAATACAACCACCTCCATTACCCATCATTCAAATTTAGAAATAAAACATCACAGAAGGAGTTGGAGCCCTCTGTGTACCTTTCTTTGAACTAATTTCCCTTCTTCCTCTCACCAAGAAAACTACTCTCTTGATTTTGAAAGCTTTGTATTGTTATTCTTTTTATTCTTAGTGATTTGCCTCACCAGTCTACATCATGCTTGGAAAATGTCTCCATGTTAACACATATAGCCACTGTTCATTCACTTTCACTACTGATAGAATTCCTTTGTATGGATATATACTTTATTTGTCCCCCTGATCATGAATATCATATATCTATATCTACATATATTATGAGTAATATTCAAATTGACCAAATTGTGGAACAATCAGAACGACTGCTTGACCAGTCGCTCTGAGGTGCACTGATCACCTCTCAGTCCCTCCTCATTCCTTCTCTCTCTCCCTTCTCTCCTGCCCACCCCAATCCCAGCCAGCAGGCTCTGATTGCCTGGTGGCAAAGAGGGAATTGGGGAGGAGGGGGCAGGACCAGCTACTGGCAGCTGGGGAAGATGGCCCTGATCACAGGCTAGGCCTAGGGACTGTACCGCACACGAATTTCATGAGCCGGGCCTCTAGTTTTATTATAATGAACCTCCTTGTACACATCTCCTGGTGAACACAGATGTGAACATTTCTCTGGGGGCCTGCTGAGTCTGAGGGTATTGTGGTCATCTGTACCCTTATAGGAATGTTGCCATGTTACTGTATTCACTTGTATTTTTACAGGGCAAATGTTTATTGAGCACTTTCTATGTGTCAAGCCCTATATGACAGCGGACATGGAGAAGCCATCTCCTTTAAACTGAGAAGCAGAGGGAAAGGGGGAAAGAACCTGGAAGATATAAATAGGTAATTATCACAAATCTGTGGAGAAGCTATGGGAAGAGCTTAATGACATCTTACCTTGGGACAGATGGTGGGTGAGGGAAGACATCTCTGTCCTAGCTAGCTCCCTATGAAATGTGATTGTGGAGCTTGGGACTGACAGTCAGTAGGCTCGGGTAGTGGTCCTCATTCTGCCTCAACTTCTTGTGTGACCTTGGCTAAGTGTCTTCCCTGCTCTGGTCCCAAGTTTCTCCTCAGCATATGGGTTAGGGAGGCAAGATAATGTCTGAATCTTTCTCTTCTGCCTATAGTCTCGAGCTCTAGGCTGGAAGACACATTACCCCACAAAGCATTTTCTCCTTTTCAATATAGGCCTGCTAATCCCTGCTGCTGGTCCATCTCCCAAAGCTTCCAGGAATATGCCAGATTGTCCAGTGATGTCCTTCTAAGTGTTGTTCTTTCTTAGGTGTATTCTTTCAGGTGACAAAGATGCTCCCTGAATTTTTTTCCCAGCTTATAGTTTATAGCTCCTTTGCTCCTCCCATTTCCCAAAGTCTGTTCCCACTCCAAGTCAGTCATCTCTGCATGTAAGGTAGAAACACAAAAACTAAATAAACCCATAGCAAGCCCCAGAACTCAAAATATACTTCTTCAGTTAGCCCCACTAACTGAGTCTGAGGGTATTGTGGTCATCTGTACCCTTATAGGAATGTTGCCATGTTACTGTATTCACTTGTATTTTTACTCTGAAGAATGGGTGTATAGGAGCACTGATTCTCCTTTTAAGAGCTTCCTGTGCGCCTGGCAAAGCTGTATCTTCCAATATGGCCTGGGGTCACAGGAAAAGCAAGAGAAGTAGCTGGAAGGAGAAAAGCCAGAACAGCTCACATTTATTGGATGCTGTATATATGTTCTGCACCATGCTAAGTTCTCTGCAGTCTTTATCACTTTATTGGATCTTCTAGGCAATCCTACCCAGACTAGCAAATTCAGGCACTGAGAAGTCACTAACTTGCCATGCTTCTAGTTTGGCTTTGAACCATATTAATGGCTTATATATTGAAATTGAAATTAAGCCAGCTCAAAAATGAAATACAAACAGAAATAAACTAATCTTGTTAAAACACAGAGTACTCTGACTCTAGTTCAACAAAATATATTCAAAGGACAAAAAGAATTGCAGTGCTAAAAATGTACGTATTTTTATATTTTTATTCAACAAAATTTTTAATTGATTTTTAGGAAAAGAGGGAGATGGAAAGAGAGGAACATTGATTGGCTATTTCCTACTGGAAATTGAGCCCACAACCTGGGCATATGCCCTGATTGGGAATCGAACCAGCAACCTCTAGGTGCATGGAACAATGCTCCACCAACTGAGGCACACCAGCCAGGGCATTTTTTTTTATTAGATTTTTAAAAACTGATATTAGAGAGAGGAAAAGGGAAGGAGAGAGAGAAACAGAGATAGATAGAAACACCCACGTAAGAGAGATATATCAATTGGTTGCCTCCCTTATGCGCCCTGACCAGAGATCAAACTCACAACACAGGTACAGGTAATTGAACCTGTGACCTTCTGATCCACAGGACAATGATCTAACTCAGCAGTCCCCAACCAGTGGTCCTGCTGCTCTAACCAACTCCAGCAAGGGCAAAAAGGTATATATTTTTAAAATTATGAATTCATTATGACCTTCAATTCCAAATCAATGCCACAGTGTTCCTCCTCTCATCCCATTCCACTTTCAGAGTTCTTTCCTCCCATTTGAGAACCCTGATTTTCTAAACATCAACATTACATTTACTCATTTACCAGGTGTACCAGCTAATAACGTGAAATTTGTAATCAAAGAAAACACAATAAACATAAAAAATGCTTTATTGAAAGTAATGTCCGCTGCTAGCTACACATTTCCCCCATCTTTCAAATAATTTGTGGATACCATCCCAATAGAACTTTTCTTGTTTTGAGGCAAACCATTCAGAGACCCAATTTTCCACTTCTTTGAACGTTTTGAAGTGCTGCTCAGAAGGTGCGTGTGCCATTGATAGGAACAAGTGGTAATCAGAAGGAGCAAGGTCTGGTGAATACAAAGGGTAGGTTAAGACTTCCCAGGCAAGATCTTTTAACTGGTTTTGAAGTGTATGATGGTGTGTTATCATGAAGCAAAATTACTCTACTGTATCTTCTGGCCCATTCTAGTCATTTCACGATCAAAATATGGTCCAAATTGATTATTTGTTGTCAGCAGCAATCAGTATTAAAGGTTTCACTTAGTTTTAGAAGCTCATAAATATGCCACACCTTCCTGATCCCACCAGATGCACAATATTGTCTTCTTTCCAAAGCGATCTTGCCTTGCAGTTGATGTTGATAGTTGACCTGGATCAACCCATGATTTTGTGCATTTGGGATTCTCAAAATAAATCTATTTTTCATCGCCAGTCACAATTGGATGCAAAAAAGACAGCCCCACATTCTCTCACTATCTCGTGCTTTTGAAGCAACATTTTACTGATGACTTTTCGGTTTTCCATTTGTCTTTTGTTCAGTTGATGTGGCACTCATTTTCCTTCCTTTAAAAACTTTCCCTTTGCTTGTAAACGATTGGAAATTGTTTGCTTAGCAACGTTTAATCTTTCTGCAAGTTGTTTTTGAGTCTGACACACATCTTCATCCAATATGTTCGTAATTGTTGTTCTTCAAACTTTTTCGGTTGACCTGGATGTTCTTTGTCTTTCACATCGAAATAATCACTTTTAAAGTGTTTAAATCAGTGTTCACAAATATCTTGAGATAGAACATGTTCACCATAAGCTTCCCGAAGTATACGATAACTTTCAGCAGCACTTTTCTTCAAAATAAAGTAATGAATTAAAACTTTCCACAAATGCTTTTTTTTTTTTTTGTAGCATGAAATTCGACATTTTTAAGCGTAAAAATATCTATGATGTTAATACGGTCAGCAAATTTGACACATGTTTGGAGCGTGCTGTCAATACAACAAAATAGCATACATATCAAAATATGTGTAACTCCATCTATTGAAAAAAAAATCCTCATTATTAACCAGTTCACCTGGTACTCAATACTACAATAGTTTTGGGACTCATACCATTACCATTACCCACAACAAACCGTCAACCTGTTGATGATTATCATTTCCCATCAAAATAAAATCGTACCTTTTGGACTTTTGGAGTTCTGACTAGAATTGCATTGACTCAATAGAGCAATATTAGAAGAACTGAGATCATTATATTGCATCTAAACTCATAGATACAGAGAGCAGATTGGTGATTGCCAGAGTAGGAGGATGGGGGGGGGAAATGGGTGAAGGGAGTCAAAAGCATAGTGACGATGGTTAATAATATTGTATCGCATGTTTGAAAGTCGCTAAGAATAGTTCTTCAAAGTTCTCATTAAAAGAAACAGAAAAGCTGTTTCTTCACTGCTGAAATATGAAAGGTAACACCTGCCTCTATTGGTTGATAGGAAGATTAAAGAAAATAAGAAAGTCAGAGTTATGTATGGGTGGGGGAGAAAGGACAGAAGGGCACATGATAGATGTGTCAAGGACTGCAAAAATCACAATATATGATGAAATGTCCTAAAGCATTAATGTAACTTGAGAGTGTGAGAAAACATTTTATACCAAAATAAGGCTATATTGTGGCATGTAACTAAAACCTTGTAATGTAATTAAAAACTTGCATAAATATTTAACATAAAACGAGATTGCAATAAATTTTTTCTTCTGGGAGGTTAAGGCTGTTCAGAATATGCCTCCTAGAATCTCTGGGGAGTACACATTCTCTTCTGTTCCCTACATACTTCCAGTAGAAAAGTCTGGAACTACTGGATGCTCTTAATAAATGTTTATTATCCAGTTACTCCCCAATTAAAAATCTCCCAGTGGCTCCCTAATTTCTTCAGGATGAAGCCTGAACTATGAAAACTGTACAGAGCCCAGGTTTACCTCTCTACCTCATTTGACTAGACTCCCACATCAAGTTCCACTGCAGTGGACAGGAGTCCTATACTCTACCTCCCTCATCGCTGGACTTCCGTCTGGGACCATTTCTGCCCCCTGAATCCTACCACCTCTGCCCCCCTACATCCTCCTTTCCCCTGGCCTACTCCTTCTGTCCCTGGGTCCTGTTTCCTCTGGCATTCCTGAGTTCAATTCCTCTTCTCCCCCCCGCGTGCTCTCCTTATCACACTCACACTGCCCCAACTGTTAAGTTCTGTGAGTTATGGGGCTCGGTTGCCTTTTCAACTGTACTATTTGGGGCTCAGTAAAGACTTTCGAATTAAATAAAACTTAAGAATCCGGGTCTCTACGATTTCTAGAACTAGACAGAATCTTTCAGCACGAAACAGCGATTCCTGCCATCCCCCGTGGGGAGGGGCTTCGGAACTGGTGTCTGCACTCCGCCCCAGCCCACGTTCCAGGGCCTAGCAAACGCCAGACTGACCGGGAAAGACTCTGGCTCCCAAATGCAGCCCAAGGGCAAGGGCCGAAGAACCGCCGACACCTCGGAGTCGCGCTCTAGCCCCGGGGAAACCACAGTCCCAGGCACTCAGGGCCCAGCGGAAGCGACGCGCGTCCTCTCCGCGCGTGCGCAGTAGCGCCACGGCCCAGGGGGCGGTGCCCATCGGAGGGGCGTGACAGTCCTCATTGAGAAAGCGCGTGGATTGGTCCCTGCCCCAGGAGGCGTGGCCTAGGGAAGCGAACCTTTAAGGCCCGGAGCCCTCCCGCAAAGAAATGCCGCATCCAGACCTGCGGGCGGGCGGTAGTCCCCGGGCGGCTCCTCACCCCTGCCCCTTTCCGTCCTCAGCAAAGGCCCCGCTAACAGGAAAGTCGCTCAGCCCCGCAGACACAGCGTCCTCGCCGCGGATCCAGAGCGCCCTGGACAGCTCCGGAAGCTGGGCCCAGAACCACAACGGAAGTCCCGCCTCCCTCCCAGTCCATCTCCGCCCCATCTGTCCAGGTTTTTCCTCCAGTCTCGGACACCCAGCACTGGATTTAGTTCTGCTCCTTTATCACGATCGGAAAGAGCGACAGACTGTTCTGGAGACTCATTTTTTTTCAGGGCGCTGCCACGATGCGAGAGGAAACACCAAGCCCCCTGCCTTTGCTCAGTAAATGTTTCCCATTACGCAGCACCATGGTCGAACCGAATTTTATTGGGTAACTTCTTTGCTGCAACCCCCCACATTCTCGAGGGGTAACTCAGAAGTCATCTCCTAGTTTCCCTGAAACACCCAATCTCTGAGGTCATGCTCTGCTTTGCTGCTTGAATACCGACGCTGCTCTTAGCCATTGCCTCAGGTAGCGTCCCTCTTTTCCTGAAGTAGCTACCCGCCGTGGCCCATTCTGCCTCTCCTCAGAGAGTGCCACCACAGGCCTTAACCTATCACCTCCAGGGAAGCAATATTTTGGGTTACTTAGATCCACCTTCCTCACTGCTCCCACCCAGGTTGGGAGTCTCTACTTGTCTTCTTTAGATCCAAATGAACTACTTGACTGCAGAGATGGTCATCTTATGCATTCTCTATGAAAATGACGAAATGAAAAAAGTTCGGACATAATAGAACACCCTGGTTTACACATACGGAACCTTTGGACAAATCTGCTGTATCCTTGCTAAAACACCAGCCAACATCCCCTGCGCAGTGCTGCAGTCAGCCATAACCCTTTCTGGTCCCTGGACTAGGGACCCTATGCTTTTCCTCCCCACTGGCCTGGAGGTGGCTTTTGTCTTACATTTGTTAAGTCTGTTTCTATGTAAGGGCCCACTTGGTTGAAGGAAAAGAAACCTGTTCCTAGTTTCCCTTTCAGAGCTAGGAGACTGTTTTTGACGAGATTAAAACACCACTGAAGGATTTCAAGTAAGTGGGTATCAAGACATGCATTTTTTCCCTAGTGCTTAGTCTGGCTGCAGTATGGAGAGTGGATAGGAGAGGTGTCAAAATGAGAGTCTAGACAAGAAGGTACTGTAGATTTATAAGAGAGATGCTTAAACTGTGTAGAAAAAAACAAAACAAGACACAAAGAGACCTTTAGGTGATAAAATAGAAATTGGTAATAGATTGTGGGGAAGGGAAGGGAAGGCATCAAGATAATACTAGGTTCCAGGTTTGGGCAATTGGGTCATTCACTATGATGTGGAATAATGAAAGAGAATCCATAGCTTCCTTCTCATCAAAAGACTCAAATGGCTTTGCTGCCAAAGAAGGGATGGGACCTGCCCTAGCTGGTTTGGCTCAGTGGATAGAGAATCTCAAATTCAATTCTGGTCAAGGGCACCTATCATGGTTGTAGGCTCGATCACTGGCCCCTAGTCAAGGTACTTGCTTAAGGCAACCAATTGATGTATCTCACGTAAATATTTCTCTGTCTCTCCCTTCCCTTCCACTCTCTCTTAAAAATCAATGGGAAAATATCCTTGGGAGAGGATTAACAATAACAAAAACAAGGATGGGATCTCAAAAGGAAGGGGCTGATTTGGGAAAGAAAAAAATGGGAGTGGAGATGTAAAGAAAGCAGTATCAGAACTGAAACAAAAATGGTAGGATTCCAAAACTTATCTCGATTATTAATACCCTTAGACATTGCCCAGTCTGTCTACAGCACGTGTCAAACACAAGGCCCGCGGGCCAAATCCGTCCCGCCAGGCCTTGCAATGTGGCCCGCACCGCGCTGTCATCACTGCACTCCACTGCGTTTCCATCACAATGACAGTTTATGACTGTTGAGTAAACCATTCGGCCCACGATTTAGGCTGGATTTTAGATTTTGGCCCCTTCTCTGATTGAGTTCGACACCCCTAGTCTACAGAATAGTTTCACAATATCTGACATATCATGACCAACCAAGAGCTAAGGAAATTTTAGCAAAAATAAATTTCATTTGGCATGACATCAAAATTTTATTATTGGTAATAACTTTGAAACTAAGTCAATGAAAAGGTGATTTAGTCCTAGCTAGTTTGGCTCAGTGGATAGTCTTGCCTGCAGACTGAAAGACCCCAGATTCTATTCCAGCCAAGGGCACATGCCTGGGTTGCAGGTGCGACCCCTAGTAGGGGGCGTGCAAGAGGCAGCCGATCAATAGTTTTCTCATCATTGATGATTCTCTCTCTCCCTTTCTGAAATCAATAAAAAATGTATATTTTTTAAAAAAGCATTAGGGTATACATTTGGTAAATATTTATAGACTAGAGCCTTAGCTGGGTGGCTGGGATAGCATCATCCTGTAAACCAAAGGTTATGGATTCAATCCCGTCGAGGCATGTTGGGGAGGCAACGAATCGATGTCTCTCTCACACTTTCACTACAATTAATAAACATTTCCTAGAGCAAGGGTTAAACAAATTAAAACATTTATAGACTAGAGCCAAGATCCTTCATGACAGGGTCAGAATACATAACACCATAAATTGAACATAAAAGTTGCTCATGAGTCTTCTTGATGTATGTCATCAATTCACTGAGGAAGTTGAACTGGATGTTTGGAGGCCAGAATGATCAGGAATTGAATTGGGATATTTGGAGGCCAGAATGATCCCAGATTGTTAATTCTGAGAATGAGTGAGGAGGATGTGGGCAGGCAAGCAGGGCACTTAAATTACTACCTACTACAATGATATCGATGCTACTAAATCACAACTGCCCTGGGGAAACTAGGGTTAACCTGTGAAAGCTTGCGGACCTCCCCTCAGGCAAATTAAAGTTAGAAATGTGTAAGTGGCTTCCAGAGATGAAATACTTTGATTTTCAGTGCTTCACTTTCCCCAGAACTGCTTTGCTACAGAATACTCTGATCCTGCCCTGCTGTGCCTGCTCCCTGATGGGAGTGTGAACTTCTGCAGTATCTGACATTATGAGTATGGTGTGGTGCAATGTCTTACATGAAAATGGCATCAGGACAGTCTCTTTTATTTTTTAAATTCTGTATGGCTCATAGCTGTTGGAGAAATGGGAGAACCCTCAATTAACTACTTTTTTTTGAATGTGGTCAGTAGCTTACACTCAAATCATGCATCAGCTCTTCGTAAGGTCCAAAGAAATTTACCTTTTAGTGCAGAATATGGTACCCACATGAACCAAGTAATCAACTGTGAATCACTTGTCCTTTTCTTTGGTTCAGCTATAAGCCTGGGGCCCAGAGATAATCCATCTGTAACTCAGGGATGGCCAACAGGCATTCAATACTTGCTTCAGTTTTAGAAGTAAATTAAGTCATACAAAAGTTGCTCATGAGTCTTCTTGATGTCAATTCAATTCACTCAAGAAAAAAAAAATGGCCTGGCTGGTGTTGCTTAGTGGTTGAAACTTGACCTATGAACTGGGAGGTCAAGGCACATGCCCAGTTGCAAGCTAAATCCCCAGTAGGGGGTGTGGAGGAGGCAGCCAATCAATAATTCTCATCATGACATTTGTATCTCTCCTCTCCCTCTCCTTTCCTGAAATCAGTAAAAATATATATTTTTAAAAAGTGGATTGTGAATGTTTTCATTAAAACTGTGCTTAGTGATTTTACAGAAAACATATATAAAAAGTGTTACACACAAAATGAGATTAATTTCATTAGCACCTGATAGGTATACACTAAAGTAAAAAAACACGTACTTGACTTAGAAATTTTACTTTATTTACAAATGTGCTATAAACAAAGATGCAATTCTTCCCCTTTTAAATATTATAACCCATAATTTCTAGAAAAAAAACATTTACATAGTTTTATTCTTTCTGCATAAAACTGTATTATGGGATGAGTTATATACAGAATGGTCTAAGACATCAAAACAAAACTTATCCAGCATGAATGTCCTAATGACAGATGGAAATAAGAATTAAGACTCACAAGCCTTCATGTATTACTCCAAGAAATGGAAACATGGATACTTTTGAGACAGGTAAATGCTTCTTACATACGTTAAGTCTTCTTACATAGATAAGTCTTCTTACATATTATAGTTTATAATTGTGATTGTTCAGGATTGGCTCTTAGAGGCTAATGTTTATGCTGATTTCAAAATATAAGTCACCATTGTAAAAAGGGTCTATACTTTTCTACCAATGAAAATATGTAGATACTAATCTGGTCTCATTATGCAGACCAGTTATTAAAATAAGAAATGCATGAAAATAATTTAAAACAAAAACACAATCGCCACTGACTGATTTACAAAATTGTAATTCTCCCTAAAGTCAGACTGTATTGCTCCTTGATAGTTACTATGAATTTGAATTTTTCAAAGCCAAGACAATATAGACAAAATATTTAACAAGAGGTCAAAATAAAACCATCTCAATTACCTATTTATCACTTTATATGTAGTAATTAGTTTTTAAATCCTTTAAGTTTTATCTAGGAGGATAATCACTCTCTGAGCATAACTAAGTCACAATGAACTTCAAAAGTTAAAAAAAAAAGCATCCCTGAGAAGTGAGAGAAGAAGCTCTAAAAACACAGAAGTGACAGTCCTGCATCCTTTGAACAATCTTAACCATAGCACAAACTTTTATTAACAGTCAGCAATCAAATGTATTCCAATCCTGGATAGTTATACCTCTGATGATCTGATCTTTTTATAATGAAACTGTTAAGTGCAACATTTTTTTTTAAATCAGATAGACTCTGGGTTTTTTGTTTGTATTGTTTTTATGTTTACATTTTTGTCAAGTCCAAGGACAGCTAAGATATGTATATTCCAATAAAGACAAAAGTAATAACTTCCGCTGACATCTCTTCTGAGTCTCCATTTCCTGCTCTGATCTTCACCCAAATAGTAAAAGCAATACAATTACAATTGAGTTTACTATTATCAATGGCACTGCAAAAAAAAAAAAAAAAAAAAAAAAAAGTTTGTTATTAGAAAGAAAACTAAGTCATAGTTACTAGCATCCAGGAAGGTCAGCAATACCTAACAATATGTCATCATACTCATATTACAAATACTCATAACAGGAACATTCAAACATGCACTGGTTCATAAACTCCAAATTAATTTAAAGAGGGCTTGTGTGACAGGGGATAAGGGTCACAGTGATACAAGTGGATTAATATGAAGACATCTGTGGATGGTGCTAGTGTAGCTCTGGGAACACAAAAGCACACTACTCAGGCAGACATAGGCCCATATGGCTACCAGGGATACCGGACATTAGAAATATGTACAAAGATTATTTCATAGTTTCATCACCAAAGTAAGAATGAACTTATCATCCTATTCAAAGTGGTGGTTAAACCAGCTGAAAAAAAGGAGGAAACAGAGAGACCCTAGTTTTAATGGTTTTCAATAAAAAAATTGAGGTTCTATAAAATATTTCCTAAGAAAATAGCAAATGTGGGACTTCTATTTTTCTCTTGAAAGCCTGATGGGACTTTAGATGACTTTACCACTTGGAAGCAACAGAATTTGCAAAAGGCAAGAATATTATTGTCTTTCAACTCTAAGGTAAGATACAAACAGGTTACAACACTGAGCATTCAATTTGTACCAACTGGCTTAGAAATAAGAGGCACAGAAAAAAACCAGTAACTTTTAAGCAATAAAGCCAGGTTAATGAGAAAAAATTTCCTGCTACAAAGGTGGTATGTGATAGATAGTATTCACACCCAGTTAAATCAAACCACAAAATTAAAACGTAAGAGTGTTCTACTCGTTTTTCTTCTTACCTCTCATTACGGTTCTTACAGATCGAATAAGGTTCATTAGCTGAGATTTAATTCCTGGCTCCTCTCCGAATCCACCAATTCCCTGGTCTGTTCCCCAGCCGACTGTACAATATAAAACCGATTAGCAGTGTTAAAATGTATCATACCTTTGCCTTGCTCCTTCATTAGTCATTTTCTAAAAGATTAACTTGAGCCTTTGTTAAAGACATAATATATAAAGTCATATGACTTAAAAACACTACTAAGTGAAATACAGTATTATTTTTTACTTTTGATAAGCAACAAAAACTCAATTCATTTCCACTGTGGTTTTATAAATTATACTATATCTAATAAATTAATCCATGGTAAAGATAAACACTGTAACACCCTGATTGATGTTTTTACTCCTTTGTTAAACTAACAAAGTATTTTTCAAGTCAGAACTGAGAAAGCAGTGTGTCAAGTTGAAAAATTAATTAGATCAATTCAGAATTTTGAAGCCCAACACTATTATCAGTATAACAACACTGTACTAGTAACCAAGATTCACCATCTACATTACATAAGGGAAATTTTAAGCTAAAACTGGTCATAGCTTGGTCCGGCCTTTAGAGCATGCTCTATCATGCCAGCAGGGGCACATTTTTTTTTTTCTTCCCCTTGATCATTTTTCATTTCTCAGATTTGAGATGAGGAATTTAGCTCACTATCCCATTTACTTTCTGTAAATGAGTCTTTCATCTTTTCCTACATCATTTTCCTGATATTATAAATCATTTTTTCTTTCCTTGCTAATTCCTTTTTTATTACCTGAAACATTCTCCTGAAGACTTACATGTCCTATTTCTACAATGTGTCTGTCTTTCTCTTGTCCTCATTTCAGATTCACCTGTCATATTGCATGACTCCAGTTTTTAAAAATCTCAAATGACCTGTTAACCTTAAACTTGACAGAGAACAAGTCTTTATAATTTCATGTTTCTTTTGTATTACTCATAATTAGTACTGGATATAATACTTGTCTGATTTTTACAAAATGTGTGGTTAAAAGAAATAACAGTTGTATTGAGATACAATCATCTACCATCCAGTTCACACATTTCGAGTGCATGATTCAGTGGTTTAAATATGTTCACAGAGTTGTACACACTCAATTTTAGAAAATTTTTATCACCCCCAAAAGAAACCCTGTACCCAATACTTCCCATCCCCTCAGACCTCTAGCACTAAGCAACCACTAATCTGCTTTCTGTTTCTATATAGTTGCTTATCCTGGACATTTCATATAAATGAAATCATGATATGCAGTCTATTATGACTAACTTCTTTCACTTAGCATAATGATCTTAAGGTTCTGCCATGTCTCATACATTAATATTTCATTCCTTTTTACTAACAAATAATATTACATAGTGTGGATACACCACATATTATAGTCATCTATTTATCAGTTGGTAGACATTTGTACTGTTTCCACTTTTTAGCTATTATAAATCATTAGCGGCCCAATGCATGAATTCGCACACGGGTGGGGTCCTGAGGGGGGTGGGAGGATCAGGCGGATGGTGGGACACCCTTGCTGTCCCGGGATCCAGATCCAGCTAGCCAGTGGCGCTGACCCGTCAGTACCTGACCTGTTCTCTGGAGATTAGACCTGCAGGACTACTGAGGGAGTGACTGGTTGCTGCCAGGGTGGTAGGTCAACAGTATGCGTCAGTCAGCTGAGCAGTACTCCCACTGGGGGGAGCACAATAACCTCCAGGTGGCAGCTCTTGCATTGGGCGCCTGCCCCCACATGATCAGTGTGCATCACATTATATTCCCACCAACAATGTATAAATGGTTACAATTTCTCACCAACACCACCTCACCAATACATTACTGTCTTTTTTATTATAGTCCTAATAATTGGTGTGAAGTATATTTTATTAGGGTTTCGATTTGTATTTTTCTCATGATTAATAATGTTAGCCATCAGATAACCTGTCCAAATTTTTAAATTGGATTGTTTATCCTTTATTATTGAGTTGCAATAGTTCTCTATACACTCTGAATAGCAGTCATATATCATATATATGATTTGTAAATATTTTCTCCCATTCTGTAGTTGTCTTTTTATGCTCTTGATGGTGTCCTTAAAAGGCACAAAATTCTTAATTTTGATGAAGCACAATTACGTATTTTTCTTTTGGTTTTTCTACTTTTAGTGTTGTATATCTAGGAAAGCTTGGTCTAATCTAGGGGTGAGGGACCTTTTTCTGCCAAGGGCCATTTGGATATTTATAACATCATTCACGGGCCATTCAAAATTATCAACTTAATTTTGCTGTATTTGGTCAAACATTTAATTAACTCACTCTAATGTAGGGGTGTCGAACTCAATCAGAGAAGGGGCCAAAATCTAAAATCCAGCCTAAATCGCGGGCTGAATGGTTTACTGAACAGTCATAAACTGTCATTGTGATGGAAACGCAGCGGAGTGCAGTGATGACAGCGCGGTGCGGGCCACATTGCAAGGCCTGGCGGGACGGATTTGGCCCGCGGGCCTTGTGTTTGACACATGTGCTCTAATGCATTGGCAGGGCCAGACTAAATGATTCTCCACGTTCCCCACCCCTGGTCTAATCCAAAGTCACAAACTTTTATGCCTATATTTTCTTCTAAGAGTTGTATAGTTTTAGGTTTCACAGCTTATAAGTCTACGGTTTTGAATTAATTTTTGATTTTGGTATGAAGCAGAGGTTCAACTTCATTCTTTTTCCTATGGATATGCAGTTGTTCCAGCACCAGTTGTTGAAAGACTATTCTTTACCCATTGAATTGTTTTGTCTTCCCTGTCAAAAATCAATTGACCATACCATAAGGATTTATTTTTGGACTCTCAAAACTGCTCCATTGGTCTACATGTTGATCCTATGCCAACACCACAATGTTTTGAGAGCTGTGGCTTTGTAGTAAATTTTGAAATCTCAAATTATTAGTCATCTAACTTTACTCTTCTTTTTCAAGATTTTTTTGGGGGAGCTATTCTTGGCCCATTTCTTTTTCCTTAGAATTAACTTGTCAGATTCTAAAAAAAAAAAAAAAAAAAAAAAAAAAAAAAAAAAGCCAACTAGGATTTTGATAAACTTTGCATTATATCTGTAAATCAATATTATTGTTTGGTATCATCTAAGCAACATTAACTTTTCTGATCCATGAGCAGAGGATGTTTTTATTTTAATTACCTTTAAAAATATTTATTCTTTAATTTTATTCAACAATACCTTATAGTTTTCATAGCATGCGATTCACACTTTTGTTAAATTTATTCTTAAGTATTTTATTCTTTTTGAAATTATAAACAAAACTGCTTCATTTTTTTTAAATTCATTGTTCATATATAGAAAAATAATTGATTTTTGTTACTGATCTTGTATCTTTAACCTTTCTAAACTCACTTATTAGTTTTAATAGTTTTAGTTACTTCTTAGAATTTCCTATACAAGACTGTCATTTATAAACAAGAGATAGTTTTACTTCTTTCAACCTCACAATCTGGATATATTTTCTTTTTACTCATCTAATTGCCCTGGCTAGAATCTCCAGTACAATGTTAGAAGTGGCAAGAAAGGGCATCTTTTCTTATTTTTAATTGGGGAAAGCACTCAGTTTTTCTTTTTTCTCTTCTTTTAAAAAAAATTTTAATACATTTTTATTGATTTTGGAAAGGAAGAGAGATAAAACATCAAAGATGACAGGGAATCATTGATTGGCTGCCTGTTGCAAGTCCCCCACTGGATCAAGCTGGCAACCTGGGCATGTACCCTTGACTGGAATTGAACCCAGGACCCTTCAGTCTGCAAGCCGACACTCTATCCACTGAGCCAAACCACTCAGGGCAGCACTCAGTTTATCATCATTATATGTTAACTAGAGGCCTGATGCACAAAGATTCATGCAAGAATGGGCCTTTCTTCCCTTGGCTGCCGGCACCATCTGGGCTCTGGCAGGAGCCACCTTTTCGCTCTAGCCCTGAGCTACCTTTCCACTTCTCACACTTCCCAGAGGCTTGAACGCCTGCGTATGCAAATTAACCCATCATCTTTGGATTGATTTGCATACCACTCCTGATTGGCTGGTGGGCATCACAAAGGTACAGTCAATTTGCATCTTACTCTTTTATTAGTGTAGACTAGAGGCCCGATGCATGAAATTCTTGCAAGGGGCTCAGCTCTCACAGCTGCAGCTCAGTCCAGAAGGTCGTCCCTCTGGACGGTCATATTAACTCTTTCTCATATAGGATGTTACCTGGGGTGTGTGAGGTGTGAAGAGGGTGTTTCCTAGATATTCTTTATCAAATTGAGGAAGTTCCCTTCTATTCCTAGTTTACTAGAATCGATTCAAGGACTGTTTTGGTCACCAATTCCCTCTGTACCTTCTTTCCCTGAGCAATTTCATCTTTACATATGGCTTTATCATCTGTGGCTGAGAAACTCAAAGTTCAATCTACACTGTGGTTCTTGCATTGTTTTATGGATTTAAGTCCAACTCACTACTACTTCACATCCCTGCTCGCTTATCTCACAGATATAATTTCAAACTCAGCATGTCCTAAACTTATTTCTTCACCTTATCCACCACTACCACCCCGATTTTCCTCCAGTACTCTGTAACCCGGTAAAGGCACAACTCTTCACTCGGTTGCTTAAGCCTGAAAACCAAGAGAGATCTTTGACCTTTTCCTTTCTTCCTTATTTCCAATGTTCAAACAATACATTTTGCCTTTCTACCTTTAAAGTATCTCCTGATTTGTAACAGTTTCCTAGGGTTACCATAAGCAGTACACACAGGATGGCTCAACACAAAGGACATTTACTTTCTCAGAGTTCTGAAGTCTAGAAGTCTTAAGATCAAGGAGTTTGTAGAATTGGTTCCTTCTGGAGATCTGAGACATAATCTCCTCCACGACCATCTCCTAGCTTCTCACAGTTAACGGAAACCTCGGCTCTGTTTGGCCTGGAGCTGCCTAACTCCAGTCTCTGCCTCTGTTGTAACGTGGCCTTCCCCTGTGTGTCTGTGTGCCTCCGTATCTCTTTCTCCTTACATGGACACCTCATTGGGTCCACAGCCCATCCTAATCCAGTGTGTCTTCATCTTAATTACACCTCCAGAGTCTCGGGTCACATTCACAGGTACCAAGGGCTAGGACCTTATCTTTTGGAGAAGGGGGCGTGGGGGGAGGGGGAGGCACGCACAATTAAACTCACAACATGATCCCTTCTACTATTCTGTTTGTATAGTGGTGAAAAGATGGACTTTTGAGTCAGATTGCCTATGTTTGAATCCTAGGTCTGCCACTTTCTAGCTGTATGATCTTAGTTTACCTGCTCTCTATCTGTAAAGTGGGGATGAAAACTATCGCATAAAGTTGCTGTCGGGATTACACAATATATGTAAAGCGCGTGATACAGACCTGGGCACACAGTGTTAAGTATCAGTTGTTATTATTATTATGCCCACCCAACTGATAGTGGACCCTCCCTCTCTCGACCCTTCCAACCTGTTCTCCATACTATAGCAAATTACACAAATCTGGTCAAGTCACTGCCCTGCTTAAGACCTTGCTTTCACCTGCCCCTGAGTTTTCTCACCCTGTTTCTCCCAACCCCTCACCTGCACCTCGTTAATGTTTACTCACTTATCAGATTTGTAGTTAAACACACTTCCTCCAAGAAGCTTTCACAGATTCATAGGTTAAAATTTGACTGCGCTTCTCTTCCATAATAGTCTGCATTTTTGTTATTGTGACCTGTTCAGTTTTATTTAGATTAACTTCCACTAGAAGGTTCAGGATAACTGCTGTAACCTCATCAACTCTTACTACGTGGGCCTGACACATAATCTGTGCTCAGTAAATTTATTCTGAAGAAATAAAATAATAATCTTGCTCATGGGTTTGAGTTGCAATGATTCACACAAATGTAACTGGTACACTGTGACACATGGTGCCTCAAGGTGCCTCCTACAGCAAGCAAGCCAGCCTGCGTTGCCCAGGATGGCCAGGGTTGAGGTGGGTGAGGGGTGGTGCTGGACTGTGAGGTCCCAGTTGGCATAATCTGTGTCTTCATTTCTGTATGGTTCCAGTACAGTTCCTGGCACGTCGTAGATGCCCAAAGCTGTGTGCTGAATAAACTTTCTTGGAACGTGGGTGGCTGGATGCCGTGACAATACCATCACTTTCCCTTTCCTCGTAGCCCCAAAGCCCACGAACCCTCACAGCCCTCCACAGTTCATTCACCCAATCACCTGTGCTCCAAATGAGCCACGCCCTTCCCTCTTTCGCTGAAAACTCAAACCCTGGGCTTTCGACCATAAGCGGCCACAGAGAAGTGCATTAAAGGATTAATCGAAAGTAATCGCGGGCCGGGGCGTCCCTGGCTCATCTCAGGATCCCCATTCCCACCCCCAGGACCTGGCACGCAGCGGGTGTCTATGGAACAATCTTCACCCCGCTGGTGAGATGCAAAAGGCTCGGCTCCCCCTCCCCCCGCAAACCCCGCCAGAAAGGGCCCCCACTCAGGCCTCTGCCGTCTCCCATCCCGCCCCAGGCTGTCCCGCCCCAGGCTGTCCCCCGCGCGGCGGTCCCGGGGTCGCGCCCCGGGCAGTGCGCCGCTACCTCCGCCCGGCCCCAAGTCCCACTCACTGTTCTTGAGAAATCGCTCCTCGTGCAGCACCGCGATGGCATTGACGCACAGCAGGGCTGCCTGCAGCAGCGAGTACAGGGTGAAGGCCATGGTGGACGGGAACCACCCCGAAGCCCAGCAGATTCGTCTGCAGCCGCCGCAGGGAACGTGGCGCCGCCGCGGCCGGCGCTCTCCTACGGCGGCCGACGAGGCCCAGAACGCCCTCTCCGAGAAGCCCCGCCCCCGACTGGCTGAGTCCCGCCCCCACGCCTGCGTCAGCACGGCCGGCTGCTGGGCTGTCCAGACCCGTGCCGTCTAATGCCGGGGCCACGTGTGACTGTGGAAATCTTGAAATGGGCTGGTGCAAATGTGTGGGGCTGTAAGTGTAAAATATACATCGGATTTCAAAGATTTGGGACGAAGACAAGAACGTAAAAATCTTTGAATAATTTAAAAATGTTGATTACATGTGAACTATGTTGAATATATTAGGTAACTAAGTTAAACATTTACGTTATTTACACTTTTTTAAAAAATGTGGCTGTGTGGATATTGAGAATGACATGTGAGCTTGAATTATATTTCTATTGCGTAGTGCTGCATTAGATGCTGCCAAGAGCTATATGTGATGCTAAAATACCTAGTTTACAGATGAAGAAATGGAGGCTTTGGCAAATAATTTTTTTTTTATGAAAATAAAATAACACGTCTTAAAATTACTCAGTGAGAAGCATTCTGTTTGATCAAACTCTAGTCAGGCTGCTCTGAGCCCTCTACTAGGCCTCAACCTTAGTGTATAAAAAGTACAGATTCTCAACACATGATTTCATCCAATCGCTTACCCCACATTAAAAAACTTAAAAAAAAAAAAAAGCCAAAAACATTAACATAGTTTATAACAGCTCAAGACCTTATGCCTAGGATGACCCCTTAACATGCTTGCCTGGGGGTGTTTAAGTCTGCCAAAAAAATTCCCTTTGTCTTAGCCAACAGCTGCAAATAGGCCACTGGCCCATTCTGCATTACAGCACTTACCTAAAGGGCTTACAATTGTGAATCCTTCCTGTGTCCTTTTGATATGTATAAGAACCTCCCACAATTCAAGAGTCTTTTTCTTAAGAACCGGAAGACCATACTTTACGATGTAAACTTCAGGAAGGATGGGGCCTCTGTCTCTCAGTCTCTGTGGAAAGGCAAGATCCTAACTGATTGATAATTGCCAGCTCATAGACACAACTTGCCTAAGCAACCTTTACACAGACCACACTTTGTATTTTTCACATTCTTGATTTTAAGGAGCACCTGTTCTCTTCCCTTTCAACTCCCTCATTCTCCATTTAAAATGCCCAGTCACTTCTGTACAGTTTGAAGTTGAGTTTAGTTCACACTTGACCCTTTTCCCTTTTGCAATAGTATATACTAGAAGCCATATTATTATGATCTCTGAACGCATAATAATCTGGCCACTTCTAACTTCAACACATATTCAAATCTGCCCAGTTCTCATCTTTTCCACCACTAAAGCCCTGGACCATAGATTAATACAATTCTTCCTAGCAGGTCTCTGTGGTTCCACCTTGGTCCCTCTACAATTTATTCTCCCCAGAGCAGCCCATGTACTTCTTTTAAATTCAAGTAACAAAAAGTATTTGTTAAGAGAACTGGGTCATTTACCTTATAGAACTTCCCACATTCTCCGATGTTGCTAATTGCATCCTCATGGTCTTTCTTGGCTGACATAAATGCTTATGCACAATCTGGGAATCACCTGTATAGAGGGAAAACACTAGCTGATTGAAGGAAATGGTCACTATTTAAACTGGCTAAGACCTTTCACTAACTCAATGGAAAATATCAGGTCTGTGGTAAAGAAAAACTTTTTCACAAGTTAGATCTTAGAATAATCTTTCAATAAATGTGCTGTCTGCTCTTTCCACTCACATTTTTAAATTTCAGCATTTTTATTCCCACATTCATTAAAAGGAGTTTATTAAGGTAAGGATTTTGCATGTTACTTATTAAAAATTTAGACTCACCTTGAAGAATGATAAAAATGGATGATTGGTTTTAACCATTTTTATCCTAATATATATTAATAGATATATTTATCTTATTGTCTATGTCTGAGATATGAATCAATGATGACTGATGTATGTTTGCTTTTAATCCTGGCCATTTAAAATGGCAACTTTGAGCCTAAATGGGTTTATGGCAGCAGAATTCACCCAAATGGGTTCAATTTGAGATAAGTATCGGACTAAAATAGGAAAATCCCACAAGAAGAGCCTCATTCATGTTTATGAATTCATACAAGCTATTCCTGGTATGAAACTCAAATGAAACCATTTGCAAGCTAAAAGCTTGTGCATTATGAAGTGATTCTGGAAATAGGGCTATTGGATATGGAAAGTTTCTTTAAAAAATAAAAATGAGTCACTGTATCTATTTTTAAATGGATTAATCGTGAATGGCTACATATAGCTGGCTGGCTGCCTGCCCACCCTAAATACCACCTGAATAAATAAAAGCAGAATGAAAACAAAACAAAACAAACAAACAAAAAACCTAGAGAAACCACTTATTCAAATGCATATCGTTTCTTTGCTCATGCATTCATTTATTCATTCTTTTACTCAAGGATAATTTATTGAACTTCTAAGAAGTGCCTTAACATTGTGCATGGGGACAGGTAGGGTGCAGTAGGTTAAACGCAAATAATAATTCAACATACTCCTGCCCTTATGAAAATTATTAAGTAGTAAGAAGGATGCAAGGTGTTACAAAGGAGTAAATGTTCAGTGATTAAAAGAAAGGGAAAGAATGAACAAAAGATAGTTTAGAATAGGGTCTCCCAAATTTGGCTAATCATCACAATCTCCTGGTGAGAAGGCAGAAATAGAATATTGCGGACCAGCTATAATTGCAATAAATTTTAATCATGCTCTGTTAACTATGATTGTTTTGTTCTGATTAGAGAAGGCATATTCTAACCTGGCTGGAAGTTGCATGTAGGACCTGGGATCTTACCTGGAAATTCAGCCCACCCTCCCCATCAGGGAGCCACCTATTATCATGGAAAGATGAACAACCTTGTTGTAGAAAACAGAGCCACCAGCCCTTTGAAAACTCCCAGCCTTTGCATACACCATACCTGAAATCTCCAGCCGGCATTACCTGTAAACTGCCCATGTGGCATACTCTTTTGCCTACTTCCCCATGAATCTTTGTCCTTCTCCCCAATATAAGCAGCTGGCTTATGGTGGGGGGCAGAGCAGATTTTTGTGGATGACCTGCTGCTCTCCCATACTACCAGCAGAATTGGAATAAATGCTCATATATGTTTCAACCCCGTCTCTGTTTAATTGGCTCAAGGAGCGACAGGCAGCCGCAGACCCAATGATTGTCCGATTTCACTGGGAGCTTTTAATACATATACTTTTCTTTTGGTTCAAGATGGTATATCAAGTACATGTGTTTCTCTTTACCACATCCTGAAACTCCATTAAATTGTAAAGAAATAAAAAAAGGAAATAGCCGAAACCGGTTTGGTTCAGCTATAGAGCGTTGGTTTGCGGACTGAAAGGTTCCAGGTTCGATTCCAATCAAGGGCATGTACGTGGGTTGCGGGCACATTCTCGGTAGAGGCAGCTGGTTGATGTTTCTTTCTCATTGATGTTTCTAGCTCTTATCTCTCTCCCTTCCGCTCTGTAAAAAATCAATAAAATATATATATATTTTTAAAAGGAAATGCTTTTCTAATAATAAAGATAGAGGAACATAGACATTTCAATAATCCCTGGGAGAAAAAAAGGTAAGAAATAAAAATTAAAAAATGGAAGGAAGCATATGGATGGATGGTACTCAGGGGTAAAGCTGTAGCCCAGATTAACCATGAAGAGGTCACATTGAAGGTGAGATTTTTCACTATCCTGAGAAGTTTCACAAAAGCTCCTGAGTTAGAGTTAGAGGTATAACAGAGATCCAGAAGGAGAAGCTGAGCTGAAAAGAGGAGGATGGATTGGTCATTTGTATATGAAATAGTCAGCCTTCACAGCCCTGGCACCCAAAGTGCTTGGGCAAGACAGCCAACAGTCTGCATCTGCCCCTGGGCAAGACTGAAAAGATCTTGCTCTTGGGAAATTGCACTCTCTCTGAGGAGCACTAAGGCTCCCACCATGCATAGTGCTGCTCTACTCCGTAGGGCTGCTCTTATTCTGGCATCTGGCAGGCTGATAGCTTGACTACAGATTCTCTGCTAGTTGCACCTACAGCTAAGCTGCTGATTTCATCCTTTTCCAAGTACAGAGAGCTTCCAGTTGGATATTTCTCCCCACCCCATTAAATAAATATCCACTCAAGATATTGTTATTAAATATCAACAGGGAATAGAATGCATAATGAAAACCAGCAACACAAAAAGGAAGGACTAAAATGAAAAATCGGTAAAACAACTCAGAAGAAGACAGATAATTCAGGGGAAAAGGCTACTTAATGATAATAAAAGTGATTTGGGAGGCACTTAAGCAGAGAGGTTTTCCCCACCACAAAACATTTCTATGTAAGAGGAACAATTAGTGAAAAAGAATTCTTAAAATTAAAACCTAACAGCCCTTTAAAAACATTCATTGGAAGATAAAATTAAGGGAATATTCAAGAATATAGAAAAAGCATAGAGACAGGAAATATGAGACAAAAAGGAAATATAGGAAAAATGGGAGTTTCATAAGGAGAGAAGAAAATGAAAAAATTTTCAGAGATGAAAAGTTTATGAATATTCTAGCTGAAAATTCTTACTAGGTTCTGAGTAAATTACTTGGTTAAAAACAAACAAACAAAAAAACAGAAACCCCAGTTACCTGAACCCATCATCATGAAATTCTAAAAAGTATTAAATCTTAAATTTCTAATCATATGGAAGATTTTAAAAGCTTCAAGGGAGAAAAAATGCTATCTACAAAAAAATATGTAACTGGCACTAAATGTACTAGTAAAAGACAATGGTGTATTGCTTTTAAGGTTTTAAAAGAAAATAACTTTGGATCTTAAAATTCTACAGCAAATCAAACTATTAATGGTGAGGATAAAATAAATGTTTTTTAAAATGTGCAAACACTCAGTTTAGCCTAGTCAACCAACAAATATTTATTGATTACCTGTTTTGGCATTATTTTAGGCAATAGAAATAGAACAATAAACATGACAGAAGAAGGAAGAAAA